GGGCTCTTCCTACTAGCAGACCAGGGTTTTAGCCTATAGCATTGCTCAAGCCGCTAGTAGAAGCACTATCGAGCCTGGGCTCCCAACACCCGTCATGGCAGACTGGAGCACTCTCCGGGTTCCTGACGTTGAAACAGAACCAGCTCGGGTCATGGGAGCCACCTGGGGAGGGAACTTGAGGATGGGAATCCCTCTCTATCTCTCCCTCCCCTCCCTAACTCTACCTCTCAAATAAATAAATAAATCTTTTTTAAAAAAATTTACATTGTTTATAAATGCTATCTCTTTGGGGCCAGTGCTGTGGCAAAGCGGGTAAAGCCACCACCTGTAGTGCCGACATCCCATATGGGCGCTGGTTCAAGTCCCAGATGCTCCACTTGTGATCCAGCTCTCTGCTATGGCCCAGGAAAGCAGTAGAAGATGGCCCAAGTACTTGGGCTTCTGCACCATAGTGGAAAACCCAAAAGAAGCTACTGACTCCTGGCTTCACATCTGCCCAGCTCTGGCCATTGGGGCCATTTGGAGGGTGAACCAGCAGATGAAAGACCTCTCTCTCTGCCTCTGCCTCTCTCTAACTCTGCCTTTCAAATAAATAAATCTTTTAAAAAAAAATGCTTTCTCTTTAACAAGGAATACTAATAAGTATATGAGAAACTACATATATATATATATCTTGGCGCCCGCGGGGTCCCCGCCCCAGAGCGCGGCGGAGGCGGAGCGCAGCGAGGTAGCGCGAAGCAGAGGCCTGGCCGGCAGCCGCTCCGCCTCCCCGGCCCGCACAGCTTCGACGGCCGCGGCGCGGGCTCCTCCGGGCGCCCGAGGGGGCGCGCATGGAGCGCGGGAGAAGGCCCTGAGCTCGGGGTCGCGGCGCCGCGGGCGGCACCATGGCCCTGGAGCAAGCGCTGCAGGCGGCGCGGCAGGGCGAGCTGGACGTGCTCAGGTCCCTGCACGCCGCCGGGCTGCTGGGCCCCTCGCTGCGGGACGCGCTGGACGCGCTGCCCGTGCACCATGCGGCCCGCGCCGGCAGGCTGCACTGTCTGCGCTTCCTGGTGGAGGAGGCAGCCCTGCCCGCCGCGTCCCGGGCGCGCAACGGCGCCACGCCAGCCCACGACGCCGCCGCCACCGGCCACCTGGCCTGCCTGCAGTGGCTGCTCTCGCAGGGCGGCTGCAGAGTGCAGGTGGGTCCGCGCCGCGCGTCCCTCCCAGGACACGGTTCTGGCTCAGAGGGCTCAAGGGTGGGTGGGGCTGGGCCCTCCTGGCCTCTGGGGCTTTGGGTAGGGTGGACTCCCTGGCAGGCCCCGGTTGCTCTCAGGAGAGCCCCCTGGGAGACGGGGAATCAGATGGGGCTGGAATCAGAAGCCCTGCAGGACCAGTCCAGAGCGGGTGGGCAAAGCTCACAGCCCACCCCAGGCCGAGCTGCAGGTGTCCGGCTGCCAGGACGTGGGGGAAGTGTGTTGGGGCCGAGGTGAGTGGAGGTGTCTCCAGGACCCAGGTGAACCCCAGGATATCCGTTCTAACCTGCTTCCTAAGCCCCTGACCCCCCCCCCCAGCACGGAGGAGTGACCTCTGTCCTCCCCTCCCCTCCCCCCAGGCCTGGCTGCTGAGGAGGGAGCCAGGTGGCCCAGGCAAAGCTCTGAGCACCAGGAACGAGCAGTGCGGAGCCCTCAGGCGCGCATTCTTGTCTTGCTGGAGGCAAGGGCATGGGGTGGGGTGCGGATGGGGGCAGCCACCGAGGCCAGACCCAGAGGGTCCTGTGGGCGGAGGTCAGGGATCTGAGTGATGTTGTTGGGGGGCGGAGGCAGCCACCAGAGGGAGGGAGAACTGATTTCCCGCTGGGAAAGATTGCTGGATTAGCTGGAAAAGACCGGACGGAGACAGCCGTGGGCTGGCTTGCTGTGCCCCAAAGATGGCCAGACACACCCCACACTCTCCCACCCCTCCTGGGAGGCGGCCCGGCCTCTTATCTCCTGGCTGGCCCTGTTATCGGGGGTTCCTGGGCACTGGCCCCTGCCCACTCTTCTGGCCGGAAGCCTCCCTTCCCTCCCTGACCCCCGTGTCCAGGCCTGGCCGGAAGCCTCCCCTCCCTCCCTGACCCCCGTGTCCAGGCCTGGCCGGAAGCCTCCCTGGGCACTGCACAGGGGTGGAGGCAGCAGGTGGCCTTGTGCCCAGCTTATCAAGCCTCCTGCCCTCAACGCCCAGCAGGCTTGGGTGCTGGGGGCCGAAGTGTGGGGGAGATGACCTCGATCCCTGGCCCTGCCCGGCCCTGAGAGATAAGCAGCTTAGGGTGCAGGCTGCAGCACGTGAGGCTCCCGGGGCCTGTGCAGCCGGAAGCCTGCGGCCCTGTCCTCACCGCCACTGCCGCCCAGAGCCGCAGAGTGTCAGGACCCCTGAGAGACTCGGACCGAACGGGCAGGCCAAATCTCAGCAGGTGCTTCCCCGTGGCCCTGCTCAGGTCGCCTCTAGCCAGCCCGCCCCCTGGGCACAGGGTCACAGAACACACCCGTCAGTCACTCACTGGTCCTCCTTGGGTTTTCGAACACATGGGAGGGGCTTGGCGGCCCCCTCCCCCTCTGGGGCCATTTGTTCTCTGCCGACAGAGGCTGTGGCCCCCACGGCACCGGCCGTGTCCGATGTGCTTGTTCCTATGGTTCCTGCAGGAGCCCCGTGTTCTCCTCCCACGGAGATCTGCCCTCTTCAAGCTTGGCGTCTCTGGCCAGTTCCCCCTGCCTGGGTCACTGCTCGGCCACGGCTGTCCCCAAGTGCCCACTGTCTGCACTTCCAGACCTTAGCGAGCCGTGCCCTCCCCTCCCTGCTGCCCCGGCCCCTTCCCTGTGTCCCTGCCCGCCTCTCTGTGGTCTGGTGAGCTTGGCACTAGGGAAGTGTTCTGTTCCAGAGCCAGTGCCCAGCTCCCAAATGTGCCAGTCTCTGGGTTCCTGAAATTCCCCTCCCTGCCCAGAGCCCAGGAGCGGCCCCGGTAGCCCCCTTCCCTGACAGGTGCACAGTGGGCTATACATGGATGGCACATTCAGTGAGGCCAGCCTCACCTCCTCTGGGGTGCCTCAGGGAGGGGGGTCAGTCCAAGCTTCTCCCAGGGGTCACCGCGAACCCATACCCCCCACCACTGCTGACCGCCCAGTCCTACCCTCCAGCACCCAGAAACTTCTCCACAGAGGCCAGTGTAAGCCTGTGCCCATGCTGGTGCCAGGGCAGCCACTGGAGGGCAGTTTTCTGCAGAGGTTGAGTTGTGTCAGGTGCACCAAGATGGAGGCCGGGGTCCCTTGTGGACACCTGGGGTTGGGGAGAGGCTGGCGCACAGGGTACCCCCCCAATCCTGAAGCCCATCTGGTTCAGCCCCGATAGCCACCCTCCCCAACCCTGCTCAGCTTGGCAACTCCCATGCACTCATTCAGATGTCCATGAGCCCCTGGAAGTGAGGCTGTGTGGCCCCAGGCCTGGAGCCGGGCCTCCCGCCGTGCGGACAGGACCCCACGTCCTGAGAGGCTGCTTCGTGCAGGCGTGTTCCAGCCGTGGCCTGCAGGCCTCCCAAAGCCCCATCGATGGTGCTGCTTGTAGACTGAGGTTCCAGCAGGGCCACCGAGTTGCCCAAGGACAGAAGCAGGATTCAGACTCGTGGGATCAGCTCACCCCCAAAAGACGTGGCAGGACAAGGCCTGGGCCCCCTCTCGGGAGGGCGGAGGGAGCAGAAGTGGCCCCCAGCTGCCGGGAGCTGCAGGACCTCAACCAGCCCCCCTCCCACGCAGGACAAAGACAATTCTGGTGCCACAGTTCTGCATCTGGCTGCCCGCTTCGGCCACCCCGAGGTGGTGAGCTGGCTGCTGCGTCATGGCGGTGGGGACCCCACCGCGGCCACAGACACGGGCGCCCTGCCTGTCCACTATGCTGCCGCCAAAGGAGACTTCCCCTCCCTGAGGCTTCTCGTCGGGAGCTACCCTGAGTAAGGAAGGGGCCGCTGGGGGTGGGGGTGGGGTGGGCCAGGGTCTGGGGGTGTCTGGAGATGCGGTGCCTCTCGTACGCCGGGGGTGCTGGAGGGTGGCGGAGGGCCAGGCCAGAGGCAGCTGCTCGCCACGCCCACGCTGAAACCTCACCTTTCCCGCTGTCCTCGGCAGAGCTGCCCACCACCACCCTCCCCAGGCCCCACAAGCGGTTCTCGCCCTCCCCTCCCCCAGCCCGCACCCTCTGCAGAGCGTGGGGGAGGCTGGCACGAAGGCCAGGATCATTGCTCCTCCCTCGGGGTGCTTGCCAGCCCGCAGCAGGTGGCTTTGCCTCGCTCTGGCCTGTGCTTGTTTGCAGGACTGTTTTGAATGGGGTGGCAGAGGCAGAGCTCCTCCTGGCCCCCGAGCCCGTGGCCAGGCCGTCCAGAGAACGGCTTGTCATTCCTAGAGCCACCCCCTCCCATGGCGGGCACTGGGGCTCCCAGGCCTCTGGGGGCCTTAGCCAGGCCGAGTGGTGAGCTGCGAGCCCTCTGGTGCAGCAGGGCCATCAGATGGGCTCGGGCAGGGCAGGAGTCACCGGGAGTCGGGGGAGGGAGAGAGACCCAACTTAAGTGCACGTGGGGGAAGCAGGGGTCTTTGGGGAAAGCTGCCCAGATACTGTGTGATAGAACGGGTATGCCAGTGGCCAAGGGGGCCTGAGGCAGGGAGGCTGCACCAGGCACCTTGTCAGTCCAAGTAGGTACCTGAGCCAAGTGGACCCAGCCTCAAGAGGAGAGCAATAAGAGGTAAAGGGGTCTGGCCTGTCCCCAGCACTGGTCTGCTCCTGAGGGCACCTGCAGGGCTACCAGGGAGCAGGTGGGAGGCCATGAGCAAGGTGGCCACAGGGGGCAGCCTCATGGGCCCAGGGACCCTGGAGTGGGTGGAGCAGGCTGGACTCCAGTTTTTTCCTGCCCAGGACGGACAGGATGCACCTGCTGCTGTTCTTGCTAAGCAAGCACTGGGCTCGGGGCTCTCTGCATACTCAGCCTTGCCTGGTGGCCACTTGGACGCGAATCGTCTGCCACTGGATGAGCTGGGGTTTGGGTCATGTCAGAGCCGGGGAACTTAGAGAAAGAGGGCAGGGGGCCCAGAGACCGGAGTGCAGGGTCGCCGCCTGACACCTTAGCAGCCCTGGGACTTTGCCGCAGACCCCTGTCAGACCCTGGCAGCCACACAGGTGATGTCCCCGCCCCCCGGTGGGACTGTGGTGTGTCGGTCTCACCCCCTCACTTGGAGCAGAGGACACAGAGTCCTGAGGGGAGGGACAGGCTGTGGCTGTGCCCGGCGAGGAAGCCCCTCCCGCACCTGCTGCCTCCCGTCACACCTGACTGCCCCAGAAGGCCAGGCTGGTGGCAGGCCCAGTGGAGCCCAACCGTGGCGCTGAGACGGCTCCCAGCCCGCCCCTGCCAGGGCTGGTGAGGCCCACTGGGCCCAGAACCCTCCTAGCCGCGAAGCCAGGGTCTGTGGCCAACCTGGATCGCTCTGGGCGCTGGGATCTAGGTCTCAGCTCTGGTTATGCTGCTACTGGAACACAGGCCTGGGGACCTTGGATCTCTGTCAGGCCAGGCCATGTGCTGGGTGCGATTGGGCCCTGGAGCCCTTTTGGGGCCAGATGGCCTGGGCTAATCAGCTGCCAGCCCCCACAGAGTCCCCATGAATCTCGGAGAAGTGGGTAGAGGCTCAGGCTCCCGACGTGTGACCTGGCTGATAAGGAGGCGCCTTTGTGTGGTAGACAGAATGGGCTTAGGCAGGCGGCACAGCCGAGGTTGGGGGGTGGTGTGCCCATTCAGCCTTCCGCCTTGGGGATGGAGGCCCCAGGGCTGGGAGATGGGGAGGGCAGAGGCTGGGCTGTCCCCAGCCATGGGACCCCCAGTCAGAGGACCCAAACAGCCCAGCTCCGGAGGCTGCAGCCCTGTGCTCTCGTGAGCCTCCCAGAGCCACTGTGAATCCTTGTGAATTATTGACGAGGGCTCAGCTCGCTCCCTGGCGGGTGGGGGAGCCTGTGAGGGAGGAAGGGCTCCCATACCTCCCCGTGGGAAACTCGATCGCGCCCAGGAGGCCGTGGGCGTCCATGGGCCGTGGCAGTTTCAAGCTGCAGGGAAGCCGGGGGGCTGACCAGCCCGGGGAGGGTCCTGCTGATGCCAGGGCTGCAGCTTGGGGTGCTGGAAGGACTGGCGATCACACTCTGTACCCACGCTCGCGTCTGCTAGTCTGTCCCAGTTCACTTAGCCAAGTCTTTCCAGAGTCAAAGGCGACTCACAGTGTAGGTCCCTCCCTCGGAGCCCCCTGAAGAAAGGGTCCCGGAGCTGGGAGGCGTGGGAGCTGCCAGCAGCCAAGCAGGGGCTGTCCCAGACCCAAGTGTCGGGGACTGGAGGCAGGCAGGTGCACCCCCTGGCAGGAACACTAGCGTCGGTGGCAGGGACCGAGGTGCCCAGACCCCCAGGTGGGGCTGTCCTAGACGGGGCAAGGAGCAGGAGCCTCCAGTACCTGTCCCGGCAGGGTCCTGGGGCCCAGGAGCCACCTCGTGCTCCCCGCGGTCTGCTTGTCTGCCTGGAGGGGCGCCCCAGGTCACCGTGGCCGGCTGGGGAGAGTAGAGCTGGTCCCGGCTCTTCCCCTCGGGCTCCCAGGCTCTGCCAGGCACAGCAAGCTGGAAAACCAGTTGGCCCAAAGATTTTTATGAGCCCCAGACCTCTGCAGATGCTGCCTTTCCCCGGGCGCTTCCCCAGCCCCCAGGGACTGGAAAACGCCTTTGCCGGGACTCAGGCTAAGCCCAGAGCCCCTGGCTCCTGGCGCCACCCCTCTATGGTCGGAGCCTCGCCCATCTCACACTGACTTGTTCAGCCTGCATTCCCTGCGCACCTGCTGTGCACTAAGTGCCAGGGATGCGTGGGTGCTGTGCCTGTGTCGTGGAGGCTGACTGACAGCTGGGGTCACTAGTGGTTTGCTGTGTGGCCTTGGCCAACCTGCCTCCTCTCTCTGAGTCCACTGCTGGTCCGAATCCATCAGGATTTGCTTCCTGCCCCTTTCTGCTCCCTTCCTGCAAAGCTTCCTAGAGCCTGAGGCCATGGCTCGTCCTGCCCTTGGATGGCTGGGGCAGCCGTTCAGCCTCCGGGCGCCTGGAGCTGCTGCAGACAGTGGGGACCCGTTCACTCTTGGTGCCTTCCCCGCCCCACTGCAGGCTGACGTCTGCTGCTTGTCCAGGTCAGCTGGGCCTGGGGGCCGGGCCTGTGCTGCCCACCCATAGGAAGGCAGTGTTCACCCTTGGCCCCCAGCACAGTGGAGGCTCTGTGACAGGAGAGGGTTGGGGGAGTCAGAGAAGCCTCCCACCCCCACCCCCCTCTTGTGCCTCCACCCCAGCCCGGCCTCTGATCGGGGCTAGTGCAGTGGTCTCGCTGCCTCTATCCCGGCCCTCACCGCCCCAGCTCTACCGGCAGCCTGTGCAAATGCGAGGGCGCAGGCTCACCAACACCCCCTCACGATGGCCCAGTGCCCCTCCCCCTGCCCCGGGCTCCCCTCCCCCAGAGCACAGGCTGTTCCCTCCGCCTGCTCCCTGCCATCAGGCCTTTGCTTGCCCTCGAGCACTGAGCACCGCTGACCCTGGGGCTGTTCAGAGCATGTCTGCCCCATAGCTCACCCCTCCACAACGGCCTCCCTCCCTCCATCCCCCGATGGCCTCGCCACCCGCGGGCCCCGCCGTCCAGGCTCCTGTCTGTGATTTCTGTTTCCCTGCTGCCTCCCTAACTGATGAGGCCGGAGACTCCGTCTCCCCCGCTGCATCGAGGGCCTGACCCAGAACACACGGGAGTGTGGAATCCCCCAGCTTGTCCAAACCCTCGGCTGAGATTTCAGATGCACCCAGCGTAGTCCTTGTGTCCTCCGTGATCAGAGGGTGCCGTCCTTAATCGTCACTCTTCCTCCAGTGTCTTTCTTCCCAGAGGAAGAGGAAAAAGCGTGGTTTAGCATGAGGCCCTGGAGCCCCAGGCGCACTCAGGACTCGGGCTGAGGGTCCTGAGGGACCCCGAGTGTCTGCTCAGGGACGAGGGTGGCTCAGGGGTGCGGGAGGCCTGGAGGAGAACTGAGGTCAGCTTCACTCACAGTGGTCCAAGGCAGGGGCCGGTGGAGAACCCAGGCCTGAGCTGGAGAGGTGAGCAACAGTGGGCTCGCAAACCGTCTCTGGCGGGGGACAGGGCCGCCCTACCAGGGAAGGAGCCCCTTACAAAGGAGGCGGCAGCCATGCTGGAGGTCAAGAGGGGACCCAGGGCCCAGAAAAGGAAGCTGAGAAGGCCTGGCCGGGGAGGGAGGTGGAAGTCGGCGCGGGCGTCCCCAAAGCCGGTGGACAGGTTGAGGGCTCTGCTGAACCCCCTGGCGGGGCTTGGTCCCTGCACTCCTGTGGCTGTCGCTGTGGTTGGGGCGAGAACTCCTGGGCTACAGCTGGGCAGGGGTCTGGAGGTCAGAGGTCTCCCCTGCAGCCCTGTCCTCCTATCAGGAGTGGCGCCCGGCCTGACCTGTGCTTGGCAGGGCCTGGACACCCCAGGCCAGCAGTGGGCGCCTGGGGCTGTCCGCTCCGGGCTTAGGGAGGAGAATTCCTACAGTATCGTAATGGCTGCCTCCAGGGGTGTGCCTGGCGCCAGGCCTGTGCAGGTGTATCTCAGGTCCAGCCCACAGGCCCAGAATGTCCATTGCAGGTCACAGGTGGGCTGGGCAAGGTGGCCAGACAGGAGCACAGTGTGGGGGTGGGCTTCGTGCCAGAGCCTCCTCGTCTGAGTCTGGCCCTCCCGTGGAGCCCCCAGCCACGCCCCAGGGCCACACAGAGCTGAGTGAGCTCCGAGCAGGAGGGCAGTGGCAGGGCAGAGGGAGACGGACAGACAGATGGGGCAGCACGGTGTGGACACAGCACAGCTGGAATCAGAGCCAGCTCATGCCTCTTTCTCGAGGGATCTTGGGCCCTTGTGCCTCAGTCTGCTTATCTGTGAAAGGGGAGCACGGCTGGCACCCGCCCCATACGGTGGTGGAGGCTGCGTGAGGGGATGCGTGCGTCACACCCACCGCAGAGCTTGGAGCTCAGCCACTCACTCCTCTCGCCAGTGGCGGGGGGAGGCGGGACTCTCTTCTCTTGGTCCTCGGTCCTCCACGATTTTTGAATTTTCCCCAGTGAGACTGAGGGTCCCCGTCTGTCTGCTGGCCACCAGGCCAGGCGAGCAGAGGAGAGCAAGGCTGGGACCCTGGCTTTACCATCCACCCATGTCTCCAACAGGGTCGTGAGTGCCCGGGGCTGATGCTAACGGTGGCAGAGATAAGCTGGCACAGTGCTTCCTGCGTGCCAGGGACCCGGTGGGGAACGGCAGTGGGGGCCTGGAGGGAGGCCGTGGGCACCGCTGGCCCTGCTGCTCTCTCTGGTCCTGCCGTGCCAGCTGCTCAGGCCTGCAGGCGGGGGCCGCTGCGGATCTGGCCGTCCTTGTGCACACTGCCTGGGACCCCCAGAGAAGCCAGCGGGCCCTGGGCACAGCCCCCTCTGCCCTGATCCCAGGACCCCGGCACTTGCTGCGCCTTGGTTACGGGGTGAATAATTCAGGCCGCTGAGTGCCGCCCATGAAATATTCAACAGGCAGTTCCTGCTGCGCCAGCAGGCTGCGCGTGTGCGCGAGGGGCGTGGGGCTGAGCACCCTGTGGGCAGGACCCAGGCTGCTGTCCGCTCTGGGGTGTACACAGTGACAGCCAGGCCTGGCACCCGCTCCTCCCAAACTCCTAACACAGCACGGGGCCCTACAAAGGGGATGGCCCATGCCAGGAGGAGGGCAAGAGCAGCAAGTGGGTGCCTGGGGTGATCTGGGGTCAGGGAAGGGGGTGGAGATTCTGGGCAGGGGGCGGGACCCGGTGTGGGGGGAGGGGCCAGTTATGCTGCGTGGGCAGATGGAGGAGGAGGGGGGCGTGGTGTGAGTGTTGATGGACAGATGGAGGCCAGCAGTTGGAGTGAGTGAAGGCCTTGATGAGTGGGGGTGCAGTATGTCATTGATGGACAGATTGGGGGGAGGCAGATGAAGGGGAGGATGTGAAGCTGGTTGAAGAATTACCTTTTTCTGGGGCCGAGAGGGCTGGTCAGAGCAGAACAGCACCCAGCCCGCACCTTGAGCCACTCCACCTGAAGGGATGGGCACTCCTGGGTCTGGTGGGGGAATGGATTGTGGCTCCACCTAGTGCCCCACTGTGGTAACTGCACTCCATCGGCACCTATCAGCCTAGGGACCAGCCCAGCGTTCCAGTTCTGTTAGCACCCCTCTGGGCTGTGGGGGCGAGGATGAGAGGCAGTGCATCAAGGAGAGGCCCTAGGGGGCTATGGTCTCACATACTCTCCTCTCTTTCACCTCTTCCCTCCCATCTGCCAGGCCATGCATCCCACAGACAGATGGGCACTCACACCGCTAACCAGCTGTGCGGCCTTTAGCAACACGGGCCTTATCTTCAACTCCCCCTCTGCAAAACGGGGAATGGCAGGAGAACTTCGGAGAATCTGCCTGGGGCAGGCACTGTGGCCTGGTGTCAAGCCACTGCTTGCCCCCCAGCATTGCCTATCTGGGTGTGGGTTCGAGTCCTGGCTGTCCCACCGCCAATCCAGCCTCCTGCTAAAGCATGCCAGATGGCAGCAGGTGATGGCCGAAGTGCTTGGCGCCTGCCACTCACTCTGGAGACCCAGATGAAGTTCCAGGCGCCTGACTCCTGCCTGGCCCCGCCCTGGCTGTTGTGGGCATCTGGGGAGAGAACCAACAGAGGGAAGATCTCTCTCTCTCTCCCTCCCCCCCCTTCCCTCCCATCCAAGTAGATGGAAATAAATCAACATTTTTAAAAAAAGAACTTGCCTGGTAGAACCATGGCACGCAGTGGCATACTTCCCACCCCATAGGGTCACCAGATGAACAAGAACAAAACCCAGTATTAACTTTGAATGTCAGATAAATAATGTTTTAACATACATCTGCCCGTGCGATATTTGGTGTGTCAGGACATTATTTGTGTTTGTTCAGATTTGACTGAGCATCTGTGTTGTGGTCAGCTGCCGGCTCAGGCCAGACTCACCCATGGTCAGCCGCACACTGGCCATGGAGTAGGCACAGGGCAGGCGGGGCAGAGTGGCGGGGTCTGTTCTTTCGGTGGGAATCAGGCCGGTGTGTGTGTGTGTGTGTGTGTGTGTGTGTGTGTGTGTGCAGAGGCAGTTCCGATGGAGGAGGACTAAGGACAAAGACTGAGGGTCAGACACTTGGTGACCGCCCACCGTGGGCGCTGCGTCTCCACAGGGGAGTGAATGCCCAGACCAAGAACGGTGCCACGCCCCTGTACCTGGCGTGCCAGGAGGGCCACCTGGAGGTGACGCAGTACCTGGTGCAGGAGTGCGGCGCGGACCCGCACGCGCGCGCCCACGACGGCATGACCCCGCTGCACGCGGCCGCGCAGATGGGCCACAGCCCGATCATCGTGTGGCTGGTGAGCGGCGGGGCGGGGCGCAGGGGCGGGGCGCAGGGGCGGGCGGGGCCGGGGTGGGGCCTGTCCTCCAGCCCACGCCCCTTCCCGCCCAGGTGAGCAGTACCGACGTGAGCCTGTCGGAGCAGGACAAGGATGGCGCCACGGCCATGCACTTCGCGGCGAGCCGCGGCCACGCCAAGGTGCTCAGCTGGCTCCTGCTGCACGGCGGCGAGATCTCGGCGGACCTGTGGGGCGGGACCCCGCTGCATGACGCCGCCGAGAACGGGGAGCTGGAGGTCCGGGCGCCCGGGGGGCGGGGCAGAGGGCGGGGGGGGGCGGGGGGCGCGCGGTCCCAGCCTGCGCGAGGTCCTCACTGCGTGCCCCCTGCAGTGCTGCCAGATCCTGGTGGTGAACGGCGCGGAGCTGGACGCCCGCGACCGCGACGGGTACACGGCCGCCGACCTGTCGGACTACAACGGCCACAGCCACTGCACCCGCTACCTGCGCACCGTGGAGAATCTGGTACGCCCCGGGGGCTGCCCTGCCGGCGTCCTGTCCCCCCACCCGCGGTGGTACTAAGGAGGACCAGAGGCAGTCTAAGGAGAGCTGGGCGAGATCACGGGACACAGCTGTGGCACCTGCCAAGTCCGTGCACCTGCCCACGCGTGTTAGCTCATTTAGCTCCGGGGCAGGTAACACTGGTGTCTCGGTTTCCCAGGCGGAGATGAGATCCAAGTCACACAGGCAGTCAGAGGTGGCGCCGGGGCCTGCCAGGGACGGCCTGGCTGGGAGCCGCCTGTCTTGCCCACTATCCTTCATAGTTGCTAGTTTCTGGGAAGCTGTGCAGCTGTTGCCAGACGTTTCCCTGCGGTTACAAAGCTTCGAGGGGATCCACTGGGCTCGGGGCTCAGGTGCGGGCCAGGGGTCTGCCCGCGCTGGTGCAATGCCAGCTTTGGGACAGTGGGGAGAAAGAGGGGGCCTCACAGACACCTTCAGAAGGACCCTGACCAATTCTAGGGCTAGCCTGGCCCTGCCTTGAGCACCGGCCCTGTCGTGTCCACTGGCCCTGTCCACCAGCACGTGGGCACAGCTCTGGTTCTGCAGGGCACAGCAAGGCCCGGGGTGAGGGAGTGAGCGCCCTGTCACAGGGGCATGCGAGCAGGCGGGGACACTGTGAAGGGCATTTCTGCACCAGAGGCGGCCTCCTGCCCGCTGAGACAGTCTGGGACTGTGCTGCGGGCTGTGGGTGAGGCACCAGAGCCCCTAAAACACCCCCAGCCTCGGAGCAGACGTGGCGCGGACACGGCAAGCACCCTGAGGTCTGGTCGCAGGTCCCCGCCGAGTGCCGGGCAGGTGCCTTCCCGAGGGGGGAACAGTTTGCACCGGCAACATTTGCTGGAGCTTCACTAACTTTTTTTATATATAAATTTATGCGGGATAGATGGCTTTTTCTTTTTTTAAGATTTGTTTACTTATTTGAAAAGCAGAGTTAGAGATGCAGAGGCAGATAGGGAGAGAGAGAAAGAGACGTCTTCCATCCACTGGCTCACTCCCCAAGTGGCCTCAACAGCCGGAGCTGGGCTGATCTGAAGTCAGGAGCCAGGAGCCTCCTCCAGTCTCCCACGCAGGTGCAGGGGCCCAAAGGCTTGGGCCATCTTCCACTGCTTCCCAGGCACAATAGCAGGGAGCAGCCGGGACTCAAACCGGCACCCATATGGGATGCCGGCACCGCAGGCGGCCACTTTACCCGCTATGGCCCCTCTTCAACCTTTAAAACCTTTTGTGCAAGCCAGTGGGTGAGGCAGTACTGTCATCCCCATTTACAGACGAAGAAACCGAGTCACAGCACAGACAGGGGACTTGGCTGAAGGTCACGTAGCCGGTGGGTAGGGGAGGTAGGATTTGAGGCCACCGTCCCATACAGCAGAGCCCATCTCCCAGCCTCTGAGCTGTGACCATGGAGTTCAGGAGTCGGAGCCCATGCGCCCACTGCTGTCGGTCCAGGAGAGCATCTCCAGGCTGCCCCCGACTGCCCCCTGGTGCCTGGGGTAGGCAGCAGGGCCTGGCAGTCCCAGCTGCAGCGGGGACAGATCTGAGAGCCACCAAGGATTCTGGCCCAGAAAAGGAAAACACTCCCGCAGAGCCCCTAATTACAGGGCCAATGAGCGTGGCTGCTGAGCCGTTACCTGGTGCCGGGCAGCCTCCGTCTCCCGGGGGGCCTGTGACACTTCTCAGGCAGGGAGGGGGCACGGGGCAGGGAGGAGCAGGCCTGGGCAGGAGGCAGCAGAGCCAGTGGCAGCAGGGACAGCATGGGCAATGTAAGGAGGGACCCTACCCCACGGCGGGAGGGGGCTGGCACAACGGGGGGGGGGGGGGGCGGGGCAGTGGCGGGTTTGGCACCTGAAGCGCAGGCTGCCCATCCCAGCTCAGCCCCCTCAGCCAGGTCTGCTCAGCGGACACGGGGGTTTTCAGCCAGGGAACGGGGCCTCCTCTTTGTGTGCGAGTCTCGGCAGCTGCAGGACCTGAGGCTCCTCTGCACGGACGCTCTGAAGCCAAGGCCCCGTGCACGCCGATGAGGAAGGAGTGCCGGGCGCCACGGCCACTCCCTGCCTGCGGCGCAGCCCGGGACCACTTCCTCCCTGCCAGGCTCTTCTTCCCTGGGCAGGGAGGGACCAAAGACAGGAGTTTACCGGGAATCCCTGGTCCTGCTGCCGGGGGTGGGGGGCTCACGTGGGAACCTGGGAAGAACACGAGAGACCCTCTAATGATGGGAGAGGGAGGGAAGTGGCTGGACGGAGGCCACACTGCGAAGGCCTGCCCGAGCGGGGCGCTGGTCAGCGGGGGCCGGTGTGCTCACGCCACCGCCTTGCCCTCAGAGCGTGGAGCACCGCGTGCTGTCCCGGGACCCGTCCACGGAGCTGGAGGCCAAGCAGCCCGACTCGGGCATGTCCTCCCCCAACACCACCGTGTCGGTGCAGCCGCAGAACTTCGACCTCAGCTCGCCTGCCAGCACCCTTTCCAACTACGACTCCTGCTCCTCCGGCCACTCCAGCATCAAGGGCCGCCGCCCTCTGCTTGGTGAGTGGTGCTGCAGGGAGAGGGGAGGGAGAGCAGGCTGCAGCCAGGCCCCTGCCGGGCACCTCTGCCCTAAACGCCGGGAGGGGTCGGTCTTCTGGGGAGAGACTTGGGTGTGCTCATCACAAGCATCCCTGTGTGCACACACATCCTCTCCCCCCACAAAACCACTCCCCACACTCCTGTGTGCACACCATGTGCACACGCCCGTGCACGAGCACCTTTGTGTTACACACAGGCACACACCCAGCATTTCCCTGCTTCAGCCACACACACACACACACACACACACACAGAAACACCGGGTCCACAGCCCAACACAAACACCTTCATCAATGCAAAGACTGCTCAAACAAACGCAGATGGTAGCAGTCAGGCGTGTGAGCACACACACACTGACCACACCCTGAGCCTGGGTGTCCACCTGCAATGCTTGCTTGATGCCACCAGGTGGTGGCCTGCAAAGATCGGGTGTGGCTGTCCCTGCTCCTGCACCTGCGGCCAGATCTGCCCCAGGAGCCGCCTCTCTCTCTGCTCCAGGTGGCCCTGCCCTCAGGCACACCCTGAGGCCCACAGCCCGTCTCATGCTTCCTCTCCACACCTCAGTACCTGGTCTTCCCCTGACACATGCAGGGCTGGGGGTGGGCAGGCCTGGCGGGGGGCCACAGCCAGGCATGCCAAGTAGCACCCCTGATTCTGCCCGGCCAGCGGTTTCCAGGTGTGGAGACCCCTAGTTCTGGGAGAGCGGCTCACTGAGCACCCCCGAGCTTGGTCTCCCCTCTTCCCCCCAGGGCTCCCCAGCGCAGGAGCTGCCGACATACAGAGCTACATGGACATGCTGAACCCGGAGCTGGGCCTGCCTCGGGGCAAGATGGGGAGACCACCACCCCCACCGAGTTTCCCTCCGCCTCTGCCCCCCCTAGGCACCCAGCTGCCTCCACCCCCACCACCGGGCTACCCAGCTCCCCAGCCTCCTGGGGGGCTACAGGCAGCTGACATCTACATGCAGACCAAGAACAAGCTTCGCCACGTGGAGACCGAGAGCCTCAAGAAGGAGGTAGTGAGCCCTCGTGCCTGTCTGCCTCCCAGCAGTGGGGCTGGGCCAGGGGTGGAAGGGCCAAAGCTCCTGGCTAGTCTGGGAGGGCTCAGGGCTGGACACTGGGACAAAGCCACTGCTCGCAGCAGGCCAGTGGGAGGTGAAGGAACGTAGACCCAGACAGCTGTGCCTCTCCAGGGGCTGTGGCTGGGCCACCTGTTGCACAGTTGACAGGCACAGGTCCACAGCCTGGGGCTCAAGTGCAGACCCGTCCCTCGGGGAGATGGAAGACCGGGTGGCAGGGGCGAGAGGACAGTGACCCGATTTGGGGCCTGGTGGCTGTGGGAAGTTCAGGCTGGCTCCCCGAGGCAGGGCTTGATATCCCAGGTGGGTGGGAGGCCCTTTAGGGGGGGACTCCTAGGGGACAAGGGTTGTGCCGATGTGGGCACCTTGAGTTCGAGCTGCCGCAGTCCGCCCAGGGCCCAAAGCTCCTGGTCGGGCGGAGGTCTGGTCTGGACAGCTCTGTGAATCGTGGAGTCCTAGCCAGAGGGACAGAGCGAGGCTGGTGTGAAACAGAGGCAAGTGGCCAGATGTGGGGTGGCAGCCCCTAGGGCCTCGCTGCTCTCTGGAGCCTGGGGCAGATGCAGAAGGATGGAGCTGAGTAAACTGCCTTCTACTGGTGACTCGGGTCACAAGGCCACGGGGTGGGCTGGCGTGGGAGGGACCCTGAGCCCCCACACGACTCCACCTGCCGCCCCCTATGCCTCCCAGACCACACTCTTGGGTCGGCTTCCCCCTTTCATTGTGGGAGGTGGAGGGGGCCGGTGCACCTTCCCAGGCAGGCCGTGAACGCTGCCCAAGGCCTCTGGGACCCCCTCCCCACTCGGTAGCTCAAGGCCAGGACTGCATGGACAGCACCCCCCTCCCGCGGATGTGTGCGTGCTGGGCCACAGGCGCCCGGCTGCTCCACAAAGGACCCTTTGTGTGCCCGCCGCGCCCCCCGTGCGAGTGCCCAACCGCGGGCAGCCACAGGGTCGCAGCGCCCGAGCCTCCGGGGCTGCGGGGGGCGCCGAGGGGGCGGGCTGGCCCAGAAAACAAATCCTGCGGTGTCGCGTTTCCTGCAACGTGAGCCTGGCGGGGCGGGGTGCGGAGGGTCTGAGGCCACGGCGGGGACGCGCAGGCCGGGGGGTAAGGCCGGGGACAGCCCCAGCCTAGCCACTCGGCCTTTGGCCCCGCCGCGGCCTCACGTCCCTCTCCCCGCGCTGGCCTTGGCGGGGGGCAGCCGCGACGGGGCGGGACGCTGCGCTGTCACCCGAGCCTGCCTTTCGCCCCTGGAAACCCGAAGCTCGGGCGCCGGTGTCGGTGTCGCTTACGCGGATGGCGATGGTTTCCAGATGCGGGAAAAGGGCGAGGCTGTGACCCGTTGCTGGGGGTCGGATGTGAGGGGCCCCGCTGCGCGGGGTCGCGGGCGGGGAGGCAGGTGGGGTGCGCAGGCCTGAGCTCGGGAGAGACGCGCAGGGGGCGGGGCCACATCTGGCCAGTGGGCAGGCAGCCAGGTGCGGCATCTGTGACCGCTGGAGCGGCGGTGAGGGGGGTCGCCCTGGGATTGGCAGACCCCGGGTGACGTCAGGCCGTCTGAGCCCATAGGCCGGCGGCGCGGGTGGGCGGGCGTGGGCCGGGCTGTAACCTGAGAGGAAGGATCAGGTAACGCAGGTGTCCGGGTCCCGGCCGCCCCCGCTGCCAGGTGCACAGCGGGGGGCCACCGGCAGAGTCGCAGGTAGGAGCAGCCCTGGGAGCCAGTGGCCGCGGGCCCTGGGCAGGCAGCCACCCTCACAGGGCACGGGGTCCCGAGAGAGTTCCCTGCAGGCAGGAGCCCCCACAAGAAGAGGGTTCGGCGGGGCCGAGGGGCCAGCGGGCGGTCTAGAGACCGTGAGCGGGGTGCGGCCTGGGCCTTGGCCCTGGCTTCGCTGCCAGCTAGCTGCCCCTTCTCCGGCTCCCCCTGGCGACTGGGCTGGGCCAGCCCGCCCCTGGGCCCGCCCCCTCCAGCCTCAGTGGGGGCCCTGCGCCCCTTGGCCCACGCCCAGAACCCCTCCCTTTAGGGCTGGCCGCGCCTGCCCTTCTACCGAGACACCCGCTGACCCACGCCCTGAGAACACGGGGGTCTAGGCAGGCGGCCGGCTGCACGCCCTCGACGGCGCGTCTCAGCTCCGCAGAGGAGGAGCAGCGGGAAGGGAGGCGCGGGGGGGTTAGGCGCAAGTGCCCGAACCCCATCGGCCCGCTGTCTCCCACAGCAGAGCTCCCGCGACGGCCACAACGGACTGCGGAGGCAGGACTCCGGCCGCAAGCCCCGCGCCTTCAGCAAGCAGCCCAGCACGGCGGACTACTACCGTCAGCTGGGCCGCTGCCCCGGGGAGCCGCCGGCCGCGCGCCCGGGCATGGCGCACAGCGAGGAGGTGCGTGTCGGCCAGCCCGCACCCGCCGGCCGCGCGGGACCCGGCCCCGCCGGCCGCGCCTCACTCGCTGGCCTCCCCACAACCCCGCAGGCGGCGCTGCTCCCCGGGAACCACGTGCACAACGGCTGCGCCGCGGACCCCAAGGCTGCCAAGGAGCTGCCGCCGCCGCCGCCGCCGCCGCCGCCCCTGCCCGAGGCCCTGAGCTCGCCGCCGCCTGCTCCGCCTCTGCCGCTCGAGGGCGCCGGCCCCGGCTGTGGGCAGCGCCGCTCCTCCTCATCCACAGGCAGTGAGTGGGGCGGGGGCGGTGCCAGCCCCGCAGGGGTGGGAGCCCTAGACACCACCCCCTCCCCAGCGCCAATGTCCTCTTCCTTCCTCCTGTCCTCCTGTCCCTCCTGCCAGCCCCTCCCCCACTGAGGACTGGCCCCTAAGGGCAGGCCTGGGCTGCCAAGGCCCCGGAAAGGTGGACCTCTAGGCCTGGCCCCCGCCCCCACAGCTGGTGCTCCGAGGAGGGGGTGGCTTCAAGGAGGCAGGGCTGCGGGCAGCCTTCCTCTCGCCCCTGTCTCTCTTCCTCTTCCTCCCTCCTCGCTCCTCCCAAGCCACCTGAACCCTTCTCAGATATGTCAGGAGCTCCTCCCAGGCAGCCAGGGCCTGACTGTGGGGACAAAGCCGTGGCCATCGTGTTCCCCAGCCCCCTCCTGGTGACCACCCTGGACAGCTTCCCCCCAACCCATCCCACTGGCTTGTAAGGCTTGGGCTTTCTTCCTGCGGGACGGGGCAGTGCCCTGCCTGTCGGGAGGAGGTGGTGCCTGGGTGCCGGTGCACCTGTGCTAGCCCGGCGGCCGTTCAGTGCAGGAGCTGTGCCTAGGGGCACCGTCCCCTGAGCAGAGTGCAGAGCTGGGCTCCCCTGGCTTCCTGTGGAGCCCCAGCCCCTGCAGCCCAGAGCCCACGGAAGCATGGCCATCCCCGGCCTCTGCAGCCTGCTGCAGCGCCAGACTCTGGGCTCCCTTAGACACTCCCTCCCAGCAGAGCCCCCGGGCTGGGTGCCCTGGCCCAACGCAGTGCCAAGACAGGGGCCCTTGCTGGGGGAGGGGGCAATGACGGCCCTGCTGAGCCCTGAGGGGGGCCAGCCGGGCTGGGGACCCAACAGACCACCCTTGTGGAGCCCCAAGTGGCCGGAGCCAGGGTCAGATGGGCAGGAAAGCTCCTCCTCTCCCCACTCCCTCCCTCCCAGGCCCTCTGTCTCACTGTCCCCTGCTGTCCCCCGCTGTCCCGGTCTCTCCCTCGGCCCCTCTCCCTCCTAACTCCGCTGTCACTTCTCTCCTCTTGGTCCTCAGAAGTGAGAGTCCTGAGGCACAGGAAGAGTGAGTAGCTGCGTGCGCGGCTCCGGGCTGAGGCTGCAGCGCGGGGAGTTGCGGGGGAGAAGGCTGGCCCAGGGAAAGCGAGGAAGAGGGGCCCGGGGGTTGAGCAAAGGGGCCCATGCTCCTCCACCACGCCCACATACGCCCAAGCATTCTGTGCCAGGCGGAGGGCTTTGCCTAAACAAACGAGCCGCCCTGCTTTCCCCTCTCCCTCCCTGGGACGCACCCTGGGATCTCCAGCCGGGGCATCTGAGAGCTGCCGGCCCCACCCCGCCCCGCCCCGCCCCTTTCTCGGGTCACCCAAGACAGCCCTCCCCAAATCCCCATTCACCTCCGCCAGCGCCTTGGAGAACAAGCTCCTCCCCGACATTTGCATGCCGCCTGTCCTTTCTTGGGTCCCCCAGAGCTGAGCAGTGCTTTGCCCTAAGTGTGCTCTCTGCTTGCCATCAGTGTGTCTATTGTGCGTCTGTCTGGGGGTGTGGAGGGAGGGAGGGGCAGGCTGGGTGCTGCCACCTCTGGGTCCCGAGTCTCTGGACATGGAGGCCCCCGTGAGCCCGGTCCAAGGGTCACTGGGCTTTGCTGATGCAGGGAGAGACCCAGAGGGAGACTCCACCCCTGCTGGGCTGAGCCAGAGAACCCAGGACAAAGGTCCGTGGCTGGCCACAGGTAGTGTTTTGGAGCCCGGCAGTTAGTGGCTGGGCGGAGACACAAGCCAGAGTCTCCCGTTGCCGGCCCAAGAACCACCATGAACTCCCAGAGGCCTCCAGGCGGGGGCCCTACGCCCCGTGAGTGGGGCTGGGAGGATGCCGGGGCTGCCGGGGCCACCTCTGGGGGCTCCAAAAGCCACTCAGAGGGACCCGGGATTTGGAGAACTGCCCCTGGGCTCGAGGGAGGGCCCTGCCCTTCCCGGCTTGGGGAGAGGACTTGCAGAGAGGTGGGCAGAGATGCTGTAGCGACTCAGCCCCACGCCTAGCCAGCACCCTCTCTTCCGCTTCTGCGCAGGCACCAAGTCTTTCAATATGATGTCCCCGACGGGCGACAACTCGGAGCTGCTGGCTGAGATCAAGGCCGGCAAGAGCCTGAAGCCGACGCCGCAAAGCAAGGGGCTGACTACGGTGTTCTCGGGCAGCGGGCAGCCGGCCTGCCAGGTACGTGGCCCACAGCTGCCCCACCCCGGCTTCCCGAGCCCGGCCACCTGTGCTCAGGCCGGCTGCTTCTCCCCACAGCCAGACTCGCCGCCACTGCCGCCGCCGGTGTCGCCTGCACCATCACGGGCTCGGAGTCCCACTCCACCAGCCACGGGGCCCCAGCCACTGCTCAATGGCAGCGTGGTGCCCGCGCCACCTGCCACCCCTGCGCCAGGGGTGCAGCTAGACGTGGAGACTCTCATCCCCACGCACGACGAGCAAGGCCGGCCCATCCCCGAGTGGAAGCGCCAGGTGATGGTGCGAAAGCTGCAGCTGAAGATGCAGGAGGAGGAGGAGCAGAGGCGGAAGGTGGGTGGGGTGGGGCTTCCCAGAGGACCCTGGGCCTGCAGCCCATCCCCTAGGCCGCCCCTCTCCCAGCCCTGGCCCTTCAGACTCCATGGGCTCCCATTACCTTGGGAGAAAAGCAGGGTGCAGGACCTGCGAGACTGGGCCCAGCCTCCAGCGCCTCCCTTGTCCCTGGGAGCCTGTGCTTTGAGGCCAGGTGGCAGGTGTGTATCAAAGGGCAGCCTGCTGCAGATCGCCAGGTTCTTGTTCAAATCGCTTTGAATCAGAAGGCCTGGGTGGGGCCGGGCTTCTGTGTTTGTAACAAGCCTTTGAGTGAGGCTGATGGGTGCATCGCCCCTGGTCGACTTACCTGGGCTGTGTGCCCACGCTGCCACTTTCCAACCCATGCTGAACCTCATCCAGCCTGTCTGCCCATCTGTAACCATCACCAGCTGGGAGGATGACTTGCCATTCATTCATTCATTCAACAAACGCTCCCTTGGCACCATCTACGTGCTGCATACACCTGTACTTCGGGGGGACCCCTGCTGAATATATTAAGGCCCGCTCTCAAGGTGGCTGTGTGTGTGTGTGTGTGTGCGCGCGCACATCAACAAGTAAGAGCTTCCAAGAGATAAAACAGGGCTATGTGAGAGAGGGACTGATGGACAAATAACCAAGTTAGGCACGGCCGGTGCTGAGCCTTGCGGGGGTTGGGGGGCTGGGGGAGCCCTATGCCTGCTGCCCTATCTGGGCTGGGAGTGGTGCTAGGGCAGAGGGGATGATGTCTGAGCTCAGACTCGGACGGTGAGCAAGAGGTGGCTGGAAGGGAAGAGCAAAGGGCAGTAAGAGGTCACAGTGGAGAGAGCTCTGGAACGGTGCTAGGTGGGGCCGGGCTGGCGAGGGCAGTGGGGGTCAGGTTACCGAGGCCTGCCCGGCTGCCTGGGAGAGAATGGACTTTCTCCTGGAGCAGTGAGGAGTCTGGGTGCAGAGGGTCAGCAGGCAGTGGCATCGTCGTGTTCGTGTGTGGGGAAGGGGCTGCAGCTGAATGGACAGGGGAGGCTGCATGGGGACGAGGGCAGCCCTCAGAGTGCGCAAGCTGGATGCTAGGGTGCGGAGAAAAATGCGGGCCCAGAAGGTCTGTGCGGGACAAGTCCAGCGCGCTGGACCTTGTATGAGTCCAGGAGCACAGGAAGGGAGCTGGAGAAGGGGTCAGCGGTCCATAAGAGGCCTCCCCGGAAGGTAGTCTCCAAATAGCTGGCCTTGGACGGCCCAGCAGAGGGCCTCCTGCCCTTCAGCTTCAAGGCCTTTCCGTGTGCTCCTTGGGTGGTGTAATGAGCGACCAAGTCCAGCGTGGAGACCCCACCACCGGCTCCGCCCTCCCTGCACTCTCCCTGCCTCAGCAGCAGCGCCCAGCGACCAAAGCGGACACTGGCCAGAGCCCGGAGCGGTGGCCTGGGCCGAAGCCTAGCTCCAGTGTTGCTGGTGATGCCCGCCGGCCAGGCGCGGCCTGTCCCTGCAGCCGAAACCCCGCCGAGCCATTACACCACCCGGGACAGGCAAAAGGCCCCTCGGCGCCGCCGGGGAGCTGGTCCAGAGGGAGACGCGCCTCCCTCCCCTCTCTTGTCTTCCCCGCCTTAGCTGACGGCCGCTAGCTCGTGCTGCTACCCGCCGGAGGGCTGGAGGTACTCCCGCGAGCACGACGGCATCCTCGGGCCCTTCGGCGAGCTCATGACCGAGGCCGACATCCTGCGCATCGAGCAGCAAATCGACAACCTGCAAGTGTTGCACAAGGCGCAGAAGCTCCAGGCGCGCCTGGAGCAGCTGGAGCTGGAGCTGGAGCAGCTGCTGCCCATCTCGGCCGCGCTGTCCGCGCCGCGCTTCACCGTCGACCCGCGCCGCATGCACGGCCGCGCCGCCAGCCTGCCCGCCTGGTGCAGCAAGATCTCCACGCTGCTCAAGAGCATGGCCACGCTGCTGGCCGCTCTGGGCGGGCGGCCCGCGCACCTGGCCGAGCTGCTGACCGCCGACACAGGCCAGCCGCTGGCGCCGCTGCCCGACGCGCCCTGGAGGCCCGGGCCGCTCTGTCTGGGCCGCTCACACGCGCTCAGCTGGTGCCGGGAGGCCGTGGCGCGCGAGATCCTCGAGTGCGGAGTCTCGGTGCGGCGCCTCCGCGCCACGTACGAGCTGCGCGCCCAGGGCGCGGCGCCCGCGCACAGCCCGCGCCGAAAGCTCTCTCAGCCGGGCTGCGAGCCCATCCTCGAGGAGGACTACCTGGGTGCTGGCTCCGGCGAGCCGAGCGCCGCGGTCGCCAACGGCGGCGTTCAGGCCGCCGGGGAGCCCGGGCGCGCTCCGGCCCCGTCGTCCGTGGCGCCCGCCCTCCAGGAGGCGCTGCCGGAGCCGGAGCAGCTGGTGCGCAGGCCGCCTCTCTCCTCCCAGCTGAGCGGCGTCCAGGAGTACATCGACATGCGCAAGGAGCGCATCGTCTACCTGTTTCTGGAGCACTGGCGCAAGTGGACCGTCCGCGGCCCCGGGCGCCATGCGCAAGCGCGCCTGCGGAGACTTCTGCCCCGCGTGGTGGCCGCCGGCTCCGGCCCGGGCCCCGAGGACGCGGCCGGCTCCCCGCCGCCGCCCGGTGAGCACCGAGGCCCGGACGAGCGGCTGCTGCACCTGCTGACGCAGCGGCAGGCGGTGGGCAAGCTCCTGGGCCATTGGCGGAGTTTGCTGCGGCGGGTGCCGGCGCGGCAGCCGTGCGGCCCGGGCCTGGGGCAAGTCGTGTACTGGCCGGAGCACTTCCTGCCGCCCCTGGAGGACGGCGCGCCCCGGAGCTACGACAGCCTGACGCTGGACCTCTTCATGCTCGGATACTTCCAGTTGCTCGAGATGAGCCTGAGCCGCGAGGAGCGCAAGTTCCGCCACCTCCTCTGCTACGAGATGTTCGACCGGCTGGGCAGCCACCCGTGGGAGCGCATCCGCCAGTTCCACCGGGCCGTGCTGGAGGAGGTGGAGGCCGGCCGGCGCGGCTGGAGCGAGGGCTTCGCGGACCTCAGGCGCCAGTTCTTTGGAGACAGCCCGGATGCTGAGCCGGCCCGCGAAGACCAGGCCGAGGAGGAGCAGGAGGAGGAGGAGGGAGAGGAGGGAGAGAAGGAGGGGAAGGAGCCAGCCGCAGAGGCAGCCCCCGCTCAGACCGAGGAGCAGCACGAGGCCCCGGCCCCCGCGCCGCAGCCGCCCCCAGCCGCGCCTCCCCCTGTCTCGGGCCCTTCTGGTTCCGAAGCGCCCGCGGAGGACCCGTTGGAGCTGGTGTCCGAGATGGGCGAGTTCAGCGACGAGGACATCTGCCGCTACATCGACCGCAGCTTCTCCTTCTGGAAGGAGAGGGAAGCAGAGCTATTTGATATCTGAGCAGCTGAATTTGGAATTTGCCTCCCAAGCATCTTCGCGTGGGCCGGGACGCCTGTGTGATGCGCTCCAGAGGGCTGAAGCCAGGACGGGGGGCCTTGGAAAGCCGCGCGACAGGACCAGGAGCTCCCTGCTGCAGAATATAGGGCATTGGCCAGGATAGGCGGGGTGTGGCTCGGGGCAATGCAGGTGTCCACCTGTGGCCCAGTGGCCGTGCTGGGCTCTGCGTGGAGCCCCTCTGCAGGACCGTGGGTCCTCCCTGGGACCTCGCTTGCACTCTGGTTTCTCACTGGGGCCTACAGCTACATCCTTAGCCACGTGTGCAGTGTTGCGTGTGATGTGTGACTTGTACAGAGCCGTTCTCCTCTGTAACTTCCAAACAATAAACTCTTTGTTGTACGCTGCCTGTGTCAAACACCCCCACCCCGGCCGGTCATTGCTGCCCACACTGGGGGCGCTGAGGTCACTACAGAGGGAAAGGAGCAGGAGTGAGCCTTCGCTCTCTGTGTGTGTGTGTGTGTGTGTGCAGGCAGGTCTGCGTCTGCCCACAGCGTCTGGATCCCAGGCCGGGGCCCATCTGTCCACCTGTCGCTGTGGGGAATCAGGCCCAGGACTTCATTCTAGTTGGTGTTCTCTCTAGCCCCAGCTCCAGGAGCTGAGGCCACTGGGAGGCAGGTCCCCCAGCAACTTCCTGTTTGTCCCAGAGAAGGGCATCCAAAGGGCCTGTTCCTGTGACCCCGTGTGCGCTCCACCGCGGCTCCTACAGCTCCCCCAGGGTGGGGGTGCACCCATCTGGCCCCTTGCCCCCAGCCGTGCAGGTCCTGAAGCTTTGTGGGTGTGTTTCAGGAAGAGGAGGAAGAGGCGCGGCTGGCCAGCCTGCCTGCCTGGAGGCGTGAGCTCCTGCGGAAGAAGCTGGAGGAGGAGAGGTGAGCCGGAGAGAGAGGCGGCTGGCGGGGCAGGGCGTCTGGTGTGCCCCTGGAGTCGTGGTACCAGCTCACACTGTCTCTTCTTCCTTCCAGGGAGCAGAAGCGGTGAGTGTGGGGCTGGCGCCGATGAGCCACCCTGGAACCCCACCCAGTCGCAAGCTTGTCCTTTGGCCCCTCATCCAGCCCTGGATTGCCAGGGCACATCCTCCTGCCACTCAGCCCTTGGCACATGGCCTCTCTGCTCTTTGCAGTCCCCCAGCAACCTCACTCCTGTCCTGCAGAGCCTAGCCTTTGCTCTGTAATTTGTTCCCGAACTACTGAGTCCCCACCTTCCTTAACCTAGCCCTGCCCTTAACCCAGCAGAGGGTCAGCAACCTCATTCATCTGTCCCCCCCAACCAACTTAATTTCCACCCCTAGTATCTAGCCCGGTGCTGTCCGTTAGGAACACCGGGGACGGGGCGGGGCTGGGGGGAGCCACATACGTAATTTTAAATTTTCTAGTAGCCATTTTGAAAAAAATACACGGGGGACCTTAATTTTTTAAATTTAACCTAGCTTATCAAAAATATAATTTAAATATGGGATCAGTATAGAATTAACGTGTTTAACATCCCCGCCTTTAAAAAACGAACGTAAGTCTGTTTAAAATGCCAGGTGCAGTTGATACTCCCGTACCTCCCAGTGGGGACCAGCCACGTGGTGCTTCGTGGCTTCCCTGTCCACAGAGCAGATCTGCCCTCAGGTGCCAGGGACCTGTCCCCAACTCTCCACAGCCCCCGTCTGACCACACCACGCTGCGCAGAGGCCCGACCCTAGACCCCAGTCATTCAGTTTGACAGCTTCCCAACACCCCTGGGCCCGTCATCTTGCCGCCTGTGCCCTGTAACACCCCTCCCCCGCAGCGACACCGGGTGAGCCTGCACCAGTTTCCAGTAACACCCTCTGCCTACAGTAGTAACCCGGCCAGCTCAGCTTCCCGTGCGCCCCCGTAACCCAGCCCCTGCCCTCCGTGCGTGCTGCTGGCCTTGGCGACTGCCCCCGGGGGCCCAGCCGGCCCCAGCAGCCGGCCCCAGGCCTCACTGGGCTCTGCTCCCACCCCGTCCCCAGCAAGGAGGAAGAGCGGCAGAAGCAGGAGACGATCCGGCGGGAGAAGGAGCAGTCGGAGAAGTTGCGCACGCTGGGCTACGACGAGACCAAGCTGGCGCCCTGGCAGCGACAGGTCATCCTCAAGAAGGGGGACATCGCTAAGTAAAGGTCGTCGTTGGCCTCCGAGCACGGGGGTGGGGACCCTCCCCCCAGCCCCCGTCCCCATCTGCGGAGCCCGGGCGGGCGGAAGGGCTGGGAGCCGAGCAGCCCCCGCCTTCCGCGCCGGAACCCCTCCCCGGCCCCCTCCCTGGCCCCCCGCGTCCCTAGCCCCGCCGCCCGCAGCCGCCCGCCCGGGAGAAAAAAAGAAATGTGCCCAAGCTGCTGACGCAAAACGCCGCCGCGGGCTCGCACGCATCCGCATGTTGGTTGGACGTCAGGGTGGGCGGCGGGGCGGCTGCGCACCCTGGGCGGAGGCAGGCCCCGAGCTCGGGAAGGGCTTTCCCTCCCTCGCTGACCCAGATCTGCGCCGGGCGCGAGGGCGGCGCTTTCCGCCCAGTCATTTGTTTACCAGAAAAGGATGCAGACCTCCGCCCCCGCCCCCTGCCGCTGCCCGCCGGGGTGGAGTGAGGGGCCCTGCAGCTGTGGCTCCGGGTGCCGCCCCCGCCCCACCCCCGCGCCTCGTCCCCCTGCCCCGCCCCATTAAAGCATTGTCAGCCGCCCGGGGCTTGGTTTCACTCTCGCTCTCCTCGCCGAGGCCACTAGGGTCTGCCTTGGGGGTCGCTGGGCCACCGCAGAGGCACCCCAGGGCCTCCTTGGTCTGCACACGAGAGTGGGGGGGGGAGTCTTAGGGCCCGAGTTTGGTTGTCACCCCAGGCCCTTTAACCCAACCCGCAGAAGCACCAAGAAGCCGTTTTTCTCCGTAATTTAATACCAAGACCCCTCCCCCAAACCCTGGCCGAGCCGCAGCTGGGCCACAACTGGGCCACAGTGGGAGCCCGGGGCAGGCGCTGCTACGCAGGGCCGCCCCAGGGGCTTAATAAGTGACATAAAATGTCTACACGCATAAGTAACCGTACTTAGAGCTTATGCCGAGCCGCCAGGGCGCGTCAAGGGCCGCGCTGCAGGCGGCTACGCAGGTCCTCGGCGCAGCCGTCCAGCCCCATGCGCTCCAGGGCTGCGTAGACGGCGCCCAGGCCCGCTGGCTGCTGCTGGCGCCAGCGCTTGAGCATCTCGTACTGCTGGTCGCGGAAGCGGCCGACCTCCACCTCCACGGCCTCGATCTCCGCCTCACGCAGCCCCAGCGTGCGCACGAACTCCTTCCAGCGCCGCGCGGGCACCGCGTCCATCACGTCGTAGAGCTGTGGCCCCGGCTGGAGCACAGCGGCCGGGGAGCCTGCGGGAGGCGGTGGCGACTGCGGGGTCTCCAAGGCAGGGCCTGGGGCGGAGCGGGGCCGGGCAGAGCCAATGAGGAACGCGGGCTGTGGCCAGGTTCCTACCAGGGCCCCCACCCCCAGCAGGGGGCCTGCTGGACCCAGGGCAGGGCACCAGATATGGACAACGGACGGGAAGTGGGCAGGTCATGAAGCTACAACTTTCCACCTTGGACTTAGGAAGATGGGGTCAAGGCCTCAGGCCACTGGCCTTGCTTACCAAGAGCTCTGGTGGGCAGCTGGTCCCAGGACCATGCCACCTGCGGGCAGGGCCTTTCCTGGGTCTGGTGGGAGCCAGAGGTCCAGCCGTTGCCTACCAACTGGACAGTGCAGACCTTCTCAACACCAGCAGCAGGCACCAGAAGGTTGTGGGCACTTCCCGAGGGTGAGAGGTGGGTGGCCTGGAAGCCAGCAGTGGCCCACGTCAGCTCTGCCGGCCCAGCCAGAACCCTGCTGCCGTCCCTGGCCAGGAGTGGCCATTCCCTGGCTCGGGCAGCAGGCATCCTCCCAATGCCACCTTCCCCATCTGTCCTCTTAGCTTACTGCCTGTGCCCAGAACTCCCCATCTCCCACCCCCTGAGCTGGTGGCCCTGGGTGGTCTCCCCATAGATGGAGCGCCACGTGAGGGCAGGCACTATCTCACCCACAGATACCTCGGCTCTTGGCACATCTGTGCATGAGATCAACCCTGGGCCAAGCAGCCTGGAGCTTGAGGCACTGTCCCAGCCCCAGATGGTGGCTTGGCCCTGCTCACCCTCTTCCTAGCACATACCAAGACTCACCTGTGCTGGGGTCAGGGCCTCCGTCTCGGCCGCATCTGCTGACAGAGACAGAGGTCAGCAGCCAGGCAAGGCCCCTGAACCTGGGTGCAGGTCAGCTTCTCTGGGGTTCCCCTGCACCCCACATAACCTTCCTCAGTTTCCTCATTTGTATCAGGGTGGAGGTGCTCTGGGCTGCTCGTCCGGACCCCAGGCCCCTGGGAGCCCATACGTGTACGTGTGGACTTACCAGGAACCGCGGGCTTGGGAGGTTGGCAGCGGTGGTATGTGTAGGTCAGGGTGACCCCAAGCAGGAGCGGGACCCCCAGGCCAGCCAGGAGCACCTGAACCCAGAACACTGAAAAAGCAGCTGGTGGGTTCCGGGTGCTGCCAACCCCCAGCTTCCCCTTGGCCCACCCAGGCTCCCCCCTCTTGCATTCCCAGGACACCACCTACTTTGCCTCCAGCCACAGACAGCAGCACAGGGCTCAGGACAGCTCCCCAGGGTGCTCCTGCAAGGGGACGATGGGCTGAGGGACAGGGGAGTGCCCACCAGGAGGGGCCGCCCAGGGCCACGGTGTGACATCTTCGCCATCCTGGAGGTCCTTTCCACCCCACCCCTGTAAGCCTCGCTCGACCCAAGAATGTTCCTGTGCCCCGGTAACGACTGCATTTACTGAGTGCTCCCAGACCAGAGCTGGGGTCAGCAGAACGCTCCGGGGTGACCAGGGTCTTGGTTCCCTGCTGCACCCTCAGTGCCTCGGACGTGCCTGGGAAAAGGGGGCTCAGGAAACTCGGGTGGGTGAGTGAGTGCCTTACCCGTTACAGCCCTATGAAGGACGCTGCCCTGCTGAGACGGAGACCCACAGAGACTAAGCAGGGTTCCGAACTTGCCCAAGACCCCCGAGAGCGCCTGCCGCCACTCTGACGTGCCCAGCTTCCGAGGCTGCATCAGGGTGACTGTGTGAGGGGCAAACCTCTCCTCACCACGCGCCCACGAGAGGCACGAAGGGAAACTCCAGCAGAAATGAAAAACACGCCCCCTTATTTGCATAAGATCCAGATTTCCTCTTCCTGTCCTACATTCAGGCCAAGTGCAGCCCACCCACCAGAGGCTGAGGCCCCCTCCCCTGTAGTCCCTCCACTTATTCCTGGAGGCCCCCACCCTGCTCCCAGCCCCCCTCCCCTCTGGCCTAGGCCAGCCAGGAAGTTACGTGGGGCAGGACACGCAGCCATTGCCATGTTCGTAGAAGCCAGGCAAGCAGGTGCCACAGTCAGCGTCTCCACTGGAACCTGCAGTCCAAGAGACGGCCTGGGTCAGGGTGGGGGAGGAAGGGCGAGCAGGGGGCACGGCGTCTGGGGCCAGAGGCCCAGGACGGGAGGACTCACAGGGCCGTCGCGTGTGGCGGTGCAGGGCCCCACAGTCTGAGCACGGGCGGCACTGGAAAGGTGAACTGTCCCTACAGTGGGCGACCACACACTCGACAAACCAGCCTGGCTCACAGCCGCAGCGGGTGTCTGTCACCGCCGAGCAGTTCTCCAGGGCCACCTGGAAGGCTGGTGGGGGTGCAGGGAGGTGGGCAGCACAGAGCCGGTCAGGGCCAGAGACAGACACCCCCACCCCACCCCACCCCACCCCAGAGAGGCAGAGGCAGAATCCCCCAGTGAACAGGGCGGGGAGAGACCACCGAGAAGGCGTCAGGGAGAGAACACTACCCCAAGAGGGAGAAGCTTGCCGACCGCTGCAGACCACGGCCACGGCACGTGGAGAGACAGGAAGAGTGGGAGCAGGCTGAAGGCGCCCAGGCACGGGGGCGGGGGGGGGCACAGGGCTCTCACACTGAAAGGTTGGCCTGGGCCAGCCTCTTCCTGAGACCCTGGCCACGGCCTATCGTCAGGAGCCCCTGGGGACCCTGGGAACCTCTCACCTTGCTCATCACAGGTCTGACAGCGGGCACAGCGACTCCTATAGTTCTCCCTGGCCAGGAAGGTGCCCTGCGGGCACGGCAGGCAAGTGGAGTTGCCACAGGGCTCTGTGCAGGGGGCTTTCAGGAAGTGCCCTGCGGGACCCAGTGAGAAGTGGCTGCTACTTCCCTCTCCTGGTTTCTGAATTTCCTGTCGGCCTCCCTCCACCCTGTCCCGGCCTGCCCAGCCCCCTAGTTGGCACTCACCTGCAGGACAGCCCCGGCAACACAACGGGCTGTTCCTCTTCTGGACGTCTCCGGCACAGTCACACGGTGGGCCAGGAGTGCCGCCGTGAACCCCGACATCCAGCAGCAGCAGCAGGGCCTGGGGGACGGGTGCTGCTGACTCCCCGCCCCAGCTCCGTTTTCAAGGCCGGCATTCTGCGGAGGCTCCCGGGCAAGGATGCCCATGGGGAGGGGATGGCGGGCTAACTTCCTTCCCCCTGTGGTAGACCAGTCTTCGAAGGAGCAAAGGCGGGGCACCTGCCAGCCCCAGCCCCTCTCACCCTGCCCTTCATCGCAGTAGGACCCGTGGAGCCCCACCGCCACCCATGCTTTCTGTGAGGAGGGGGACCCTGAGGTCCCTGCCCCCCACAGGGAGAGCACCTCTTCTGCCGGGCAGGCCCCACCCTGCCGGCGCCTCTTATTGGGGGTGGGGGGTTGGTGGGCACTGCTGAGCCCCAGTGAACCAGTGAGAGGCGCTGGGAGCCCCTCCCTAGGCAACATGCTGGTGACCTGGGCTGAAGGCCAAGTCCAGGGCTACACCTGGCCTCCCACCGCGCCTGCACTCACCGCAGCCACAGCTGCCGCACAGCTCCCAGGCCCCGGCCTCATGGCCCCTGGCACCCGGCGTGTGTGGCCGGGACCTTCCTCTGCTCAGCCCGCCCTTTCAGGTTCCGTGAACAGCCCGCGCCCGCAGGCCCCGCCCCTCGCCATAGAAAAGCCCGCCTCAGGGGTGGGGGCCAGGGCGGGGCCACCCTTCCCCGCCAGGGGAGAGGGACTCACATGCACGGCCCAGTCGGAGCAGGCCTGCTGCGGCGCACCTCTCACCTGGGCTACCTGCTGCAGAGGTGCAGGCAGGACAAAGGCCGCGTTTCCCCCTCCAGCCCCTGGGTCCAGCCCCAACCCCCAGAACCACCGGGAGGTGGAGCCAGGACGGGTGACTTCCCTTTCCTGAGCCGCAGCGTGCCCGCCAAGGAGGGGCGGGACCAAAGTACTTGAAGGCACCCAGGCGGGAGACCTGGCTCCCCCAGGTCCCTGGGAGAGGGCCCAGGGGAGGACTGAGGCAGCACCCACAGGAGCGACAGTCACGTTGCCCACCCTGACGCAGCTCCCGGGAGAGCTGCGATGGCAGCAAACAGGCCCGTTCAGTGTGGCGGTCACTGGTCACGGCAGCTCCCCACATCAGGGGCAGGAGCGTGGGATCACGGGGGGCGCCCCGCCCGGAGCCCAGAGGCGCCCCCGCCAGGACGGGGGTGGGGTTCAGAAGCACAAGACTCTCCCACGGAGCAGATACAAGTCTTTATAAAAGAACCAAAGCTCAATAAATAGGCAGCTTTACAGAACCAGGGCCGAGCCTGGGAAGGCAGCCGAGGGCAGGGGCAGCGCCCACTGGGGGCCAGCGGCGGGCCGAGGGGGGAGGGCAGCCCGAATCCAAGCCGGAGGCAGGGAGAAGTGCAGAGTGGCGCTGCAGTCTGGGTCTCCTCCATCCGGCCGGCAAAGTGCAAATCGGGCCCCAGCGTGGCGGCAGGGGTCCTGCCGGCGCTCCGGCTCACGCGCACCCGACGTGCAGCTGAAGCAGGTGCCAGCACCCCCCAGGAGGCAGGCTGCCTGCTGGCCCCTGGTCAACGGCACCCTTGGGGAAATCCCTCCGCTCAGACCTCCCTGCAGGGGGGAGAGGGGAGAGACGGACCTTCCTTGGCTGACATCGCCGGGGCGGCTCTCTCCACGCTGTCCCCAGGCCCTTCACTGCTGCCCACACAGCTGCACCCAGGCCCAGGCAGGCCTCAGGCCTCCTGTCTGACGACCTGGCCCAAACGCAGAGCTCCCCGACGTGACTGCGCCCCCAGCGCCAGCACACCGAGCCACCTGCCCTCTGCCCCAGGCCAGGCCACTCACGAGGCAGTGAGCGTGGAGTTCAGCAGCAGCGTGGTCCTGATTCGGTAGAGCTGGGCCAAGGTCAGCTTCCTGTGCTGGGCAGAGATCCCTGCGGGGAGCTCGGGCTGGGCCCTGGGAGAGGCCCCCGAGGCCAGTTCTCTGTGGCTCTTCCCGGAAGAACCCGCAGGCTCCCGAGCCCGCCAGCTGTCTCTGTCCTTGGGCTCCGGCGGTTTGGAGCCACTGCCAGGGCCAGGTGCTCCTTGGCAATCCCAGCCAGGCCCGGCTTCCCGCGGGGAGCCCTGAGTCCTGGTGCGAGGTGCTGCGGCAGCTAGGCAGAGCTCCGACAGGCTGCGGCTGGGGCCTGGGGGCGCCCCACGGGCAGCAGCCCCTGACAGCAGCTGCAGCAGACTGGCCTCAGACCTGGACTTGACAAGGTGGGGCAGACGGGGCAGCAGCTGGACAGGGGTGCGGCGGCGGAGGCGGGGTGAGGGCAGGGGCGAAGGGGCTTGTGCTAACTCTGGGGGCTGGGGCACTGGCTCTGCCACAGGGGCTGGGGTCACAAAATCCCGCAGGGAGGCTGGGGAGAGGGTGCCGTAGGCGGAGTCCATGGAGCAGGAGCGGCCGTCCACGGGGCCCAGGGGCAGCAGCTCGCTCGTGGGTGTGACGGACGAGGCAGTGGTGCTGAGAGAGGTCTCGTCCGACGGGGCGCTGAAGGGGCCGCCGTCCGACTCCGGGGAGGACAGCGTCTCCCCAGGCTCCACCACGACTACAGCCAGGGTCTCCGTGGAGCCATCCGAGACACTAGGGGACCAGGGAGAGAGTCAGACCGGCCACGGGCAGCCTGGGTAGCTTACAGCCTGCAGCCAGGAGCTCCAGGCCCAGGGGTCTTCAACCCTGCACCCCCGATGGACCTTAGCCAAGGCTCACAGCCTCTTCGGAAGATTTTCTTTCCTCTTGGCCAAGACCGGACTCCACCTAAGAGTCCCCAGCGCAGGGCACCAGGCAGCCAAGCACTCAAGGCTGGGATTGGCCACAGGTTGAAGACAACCTGCCTTCCCCGGGGGCTCTGGCGGGCGCCTGGGCCACCCCACCACCGGGCTCAGCGGAGAGGACCCGGCTGGGTCCCTCCCAGGACCAGGAGCGCGGGGCTGGGTGCTCACCCTGCTCTGAGGGCTTCGGCAAACGTACCAGTGCTGCGAGTTGAGGCTGCTGCTGCTTCTGCGCAAGATGGTGGGGGAACTGGCAGCCGAAGCGCCGCTCTCCTCCTCTCCCTCCTCCTTCTCCTCCTCCTCCTCCTCCTCCAGGCTCTGCAGGTGGCCCCCTGGGTGTTCCTGTGCGCGCAGCTGCTGCAGCTGGTTCTGTGGGCAGGAGCAAGGGCGCACGGGGGCAGGACGAGCTGTGGTCAGCGGAACCCTCCCCCCAACCACCAGGCCACACGGCACTGTTCTCACCTGAGCATTGCAGATGGCATCCACCCAGCCCCGGCACAGGGCCTGGCCACTGGCTTGGAACGTGTAGGCCGCCACAGCACTGTGAAACTCGTTCAGGTAGATGAGAAGGAAGGCGCCTGGTCAGGGAGGCCCACGTGAGCTCCGGTCCAGGCCGCAGCCCCTGCCCCACAGCCCCCGCCCGGGCACCTCACCAGGGTCCCGCAGCTCCCGGCACACGAGCTTGTCCACCAGCAGCGGTGGCCGGATGACCTTGGTCCTCTCAGCCTTCTTCACCGCCTTGGTCACCAGGAGCAGATCCGTGAAGAGGAAGCAGTAGACGTCCATCTGCACGGAGGAGCCGGAGTGGCCCTCGGGGTTAGGGCCGGGGCCCTGGCGCTGCCGTGATACCCTCCTCCCCTGGAGGCAAACACCCCTGCCCCTCGACCTCCAAGGAAAATTAAGCAAAAAGGAAGGTGCTTCTCTTTCCCTGAGATACACGTTTATACTTTATCTCAACGAGAGCTGGTGTTAAAAAGAAGAAACAGAGGGAAACTTTTACCCGCAATTTACAAGCTCTCGGCTACGACAGGGCAGCAGGGGACAGGAAGGACGTGCCCCTCCTTCCCCCTGGGAACCACCCCGGGTGAGGTGGACACCTGCAGGCTGTGACCCTGACAGCGCTCATCAGAGCAAACAGCTGCAGCGTAGCAGGTAAAGCTGCCACCTGCAGTGCAGTGCCGGCATCCCAAATGGGCAAGTCCCGGCTGCTCCACTTCCGATCCAGCTCTCTGGTATGGCCTGGGAAAGCAGTGTAGGATGGCCCAGGTGCTTGGGCCCCTGCATCCATGTGGGAGACAGGGAGGAAGCTCCTGGCTCCTGGCTTCAGATCGGCACAGCTCCGGCCACTGTGGCCAACTGGGGAGTGAACCAGCGGATGGAAGACCTCTCTCTCTCTCTCTCTCTGCCTCTCCTTCTCTCTGTATGTAATTCTGACTTTCAAATAAATCTTTTTTCTAAAGGGCAAACTGCAGGTGCATCACCAACCCTCACCCTGCCCACCACTCTCTACTTCCTGGGTCACCACCCCAGGGACTGGGCAGCCGAGAGCCACCTGCCAGAGCTCAGAAGTCCGTGGGAGCAGGGGCCCCGGGGTCACCTTGCTGTCCTTGCCCTCCTTCATCCTCAGACTGCCCTCCAGCAGCAGCTGCCGGGTCTCCTCGGGGCAGGTGCCCACCATGGGCATGGTCAGGTCCAGGTGCAGGAATTCCTTCAGGAGCTGGGAAGGGGAGGGGGCGCGCGTGAGGGCTGGATTCCAGGGCTCACCGGGAGCCCGTGTGTGCCCCCCGGGGGGGGGGGTCACAGCACACACCTTGTCCACCTCCTCGTTGCTGCCTTCCACCACCTCGTAGGCGTCGATGCGGCTCACCACGGCCGCCAGGCGCTGCCGCTCCTGGCGCTGCCGCATGCAAGTGTTCACGTGGTGGATGAAGCGCTCCACAGAGCCGATCTGGGGGCGGGGGCCGGGCTTAGGCGCAGGGTCCGGGAGGGCACGCGCGCCTGCCCCCCCCCCCGCCCCGCCCCGCGGCAGGCACTCGGGTTACCATGGTGGCCAGCGCCTCCTTGGCTCGCGGCTCGTCCGTCTTGCGCAGCACCGACTTGAGCAGCAGCGGGTACTTGGTGAGCCGCTGGTGCGGCTTGGCCAGCATGTCGCTCAGCTTCAGCCGCTGGCACTGCTCGTGCCTCTCGGCCCACTGCGGCGAGGGCGGGGGGCTCAGCGCCCGGCCGGGCCACGCCCCCGGGCGCCCGCCCCCCCCCCCGCCCCCCCCGCTCCGGCCCGCCCCTCACCGTGACGTAGGCCCGGAAGAGGTCGCTGTCCCGCAGCAGGCCGCGCATGTACTCCATGCAGCTCTCCTCCTCCACGCAGTAGCGGATGTAGGGCTTAAACAGGGAGCCGAACTGCGGCGGGGGGCGAACCAGGGCTGGTGAGCGCGCTCGGACCCCCCAGGCCAGGTGGCCGGGCAGGGCTCGCACCTGGGCGGCCGGCTGGCCATCTCCCGCCCTGGGCCAGCAGGGGGCGCGTGCGGTCCCTGGGCCTGCCGGCTGTCCCGCACGTACCGACTTGAAGCCTTTCATGAAGTCCCCGGGCAGCAGCGGCGCCCGCGTGCGACGCGCCTTCTCCAGCACCGGCGCCATCACGCCGCTCCACAGCCCGCCGTGCAGCCGCGCGATCTCGGGGATGTTGCTGAACAGGCGCTCGGCCTCCACCTGGGGGTTGGGGGAGGGGGGCGAGGCAGTGGCCGGCCCCGCCCACTCCGTCCCCGGACCCCTCCCCACCCCCGGGAGCCCCAAGCCCCCAGCGCACCTCACACAGCAGCCCCGACTCTTGCAGGTTCAGGAGGCAGCACAGGAACAGCTGTGGGGGCAGGACACGCGGCTGGGGGAGCGTCCCAGGCCTGAAGCCTCACCCCACGCTCAGGGTCCCCCAGCCGTCCCCCTTGCCTGGAGCCTCACACCTGGGAGATCAGACCCCGGGGGCCCACCTGGAGGGAAGCGCTGAGAAAGCTTCCTGCCACAGCTGCACTCCTCCCCTGCCTCCGCCCTGGTCCGCCTCCAGGTCTCTCCCGGGGCCCCCTAACCTGGTGGAAATCCCTACAGAGCCCACCCGCCCTGTCTCACTAGGGGGTGGGGTGCTGGGCACCTGGCGAGCAGCAGGTGTTCAGAATGCGTCCAAGAAGGTCTCAACTGTGTTGCTCTAGCTAGCCCTGCTGCAGCCCCTCCCCAGGGCCCGTGGGAGCCCCCTCCCTCCCCCATTCACTGTCAGGCTCCTGCCCACACTCAGCTGAGCAGCCACCCAGAAAGAGACCACAGGGGACAGGTGCTGCCACACTCACGTTTGTGATCACCCGCAGCTTCCTGATGTAGGAGGCCTCCGTGTGCAGCAGCTCCCACACTGCCTCCTGCTGGTGGCACTGCCTCCGGGTCAGCTTCTAGGACGGCAGAGGGCGGGGCGGCTCAGCCAGGAGCCTGGAGTGTGTCGGGATGGCCAGGGGAGGGCGGGTCGCTGATAGGGACACGGAGCTCCCACAAGGGGCAGGGGCACCGGCAGGCTCGCCTTAGCCACTTTAGTTCTGGGCCCTCCGCCGGCACGAATGCAGCCAGGTGGGGTGAGCATTTGGTGTGGCATTCCAGACACAGTGTGGGACGCCTGCATCCCGCACTGGAGGGCCTGGGTGTGAGTTCTGGCTCCGCTTCGACTCCAGCTTCCTGCTGTGCAGACCCCGGAAGGCAGCAGCTGGTGCCTCTCGGGAGAACCCAGTTTGAGTTCCCACCTCCCAGCTTCAGCCTGGCCCCCCCGGTTTCTCCAGGCTCTAGGGCTGCTCCATGGGACGTCCTGCTGGGGGGTCCTGCAAAGGGCTGTCCCCCTTTCACACAGGGGGAGGGGGAGGGCCGCGGGCCACACACACCTCGTGCCCGTCGATGAGTTCCCGCCAGCTGTGTTCCAGCTGCAGGCAGGCGTTGCCCTCCTGCTCGTCCTCGTCTTCATCCTCCTCCTCCTCCCAGGAGTCATGGTCGAAGCGCAGTCTCTGGGGCAGCCTGGGCAGCCCGAAGAGGCTGTAGGCGTGCAGCTTACCCTCCAGCTGCTCCATCTTGTCCACCTCCTGGAAGGAGGCCCACGGTCAGCGCAGGGTTCAGGGCCAGCCAGCTGCCCTGTCCAGGCCCCCAGGCCCCCAGGCCCACGTACCCGACCGAAGGCGCTGCTGCTGGGGCCTGAGCTGAAGAAGCCGCTGAAGCGACTGGCCGCCCGGTTCTTCCAGCTGTCGCTGCCCCCGCTGCTGGTGCTGCCCCCGCTGGGCAGAGAGCAGCTGGAGGGTGTTGGGGGCTCCTGCCCGGGGACGCTCGCCTCCCCCAGGAATTCCGACATGTTCTTCCGGCGGCGGCCGGGGGCCTGGCCAGGGAGGGATGGTCAAGGCCAGGCGCTCCTCGGTCCCCATGGCCCCACCCCGCTTCAAGAGGGCAGGCCTGGGGCGCCCCCTCTCCCAGAGACAGACTACAAGGTCCACACAAAGCTACAGCTGGAGAACTGTGTCCCAGCCACAAGCACGAAGCAGGCCTGAGAGGCCCCCGGCCCCCGGCGACACACACGGCTGCACAGGGGGTCTCCGGCAGACTCCCACCTACCCTGGATGGCGCGCGCGCACACACACACGTGCTCACTGTGTACCCAGTCCCTGGCACAGAACACTCACTGACAAATCCCATGACCTTGGGGTACAGCTTGATACAGAGGGGGACCCCTGTTTTCACAGCCCGCCCCATCCCCCAGAGGGGACAGTGAGGAATCCCGGGGGGGTACCCCCTGAGGGGGGCTCTGAGTCCAGTCGGGGCCCCTGCCCACCCCGACGCGGCCCCTCCTCCTCACCAAGATGTCCATTTGGGGTACAGTTAGATACAGAGGGGGCCCCCTGTTTTCACAGCCAGCCCCATCCCCCAGAGGGGACAGTGAGGAATCCAGGGGGGTACCCCCTGAGGGGGGCTCTGAGTCCAGTCTGGGCCCCTGCCCACCCCGACGCGGCCCCTCCTCCTCACCAAGATGTCCACGCTCTCCCGGCGGCTCTGGGGGTCCACACGGTCCCGTGCAGGAGGCCCAGCCCCGGCTGGCCGCAGGGTGGGCAGACTCAGGGACTTGGGGTCCTTCATGCCCTGCTCCACTTTCCCCTCGTCCCCTGGCTTGGCTGGGGTGGCAGGGGGGGACAAGACACCCTCAGCACCAGGTCTGGGGCAGCAGGGGCCCTGGCCTCTCCCTGGCTGCCCTCCCCCCACAGCCCCGCCCTGCCAGCACTGCCAGGCAGAGACACCTGTATGGTAATGAGGCTGCCACCAATGGGAACCCGAGCCTGGGAGGGGCGCCCATCCCCAGGAGGCCCAGCCAGGCCCCACCCCACCCTGCCAGCTGGCTGTGGAGCCTGCTGCTCACCTTTGACCCGCAGGTAATGTCCTCCAAACCTGTAGGCCTCGAAGGTGAGGGACAGCGGTGTGTTGGACTGGTCCAGGTAGATGTCCACCTTGCCTAGTGCGATGCCCTTCCTTTCGAAAACAGGCAGCAGGACCTCCCTGCCCCGGGGACAGCGTGTCACGGGAGCCACCACGTGAGCCCCTGCCCCATCTGCAACCTGGCCCCACCCTCCTGGAAAGGGAGGCACATGTGGGCTCACACACAGGTGCAGACACCTGCCCCCAAGTTCCTACCCAGGCGCAGCTGCACTCCCAGGCCTGGGCCCTGCACAGAGGGTGGCCGGTGAGGTCCAGTGTGCCCGAGACCCACCAAGCTCTCAGCTGCTGAGCCCGCCAGCCACTTTCCACAGCTTTTACTCGTTTGGTGTATACTTGCGTCTATTAAACAGCGGAGCCATAATAAGCACTGAGTTTAGAATACACCAAACGCAACATGTGAAAGTGGTAATAATTCGACAAATAATTCGACACTGTATTTGCATACATTTGGCACAAATTTCTGAACTCAACTGACCACTGCTTTTTTATACTTTAAAAAAAATGGTAAGGCTGGCACTGTGGCTCAGCAGGTTAAGCCATGGCCTGCGACGCTGGCATCTAATACCGGAGCACTGGTTCAAGTCCCAGCTGCTCCACTTCCAGTCCAACTCCCTGCTAATGTGTCTTGAAAAGCAACAGAAGGTGGTCTAAGAGCTCGGACCCCCACCACCCATGTGGGAGGCCCAAATAGGGTTCCTGGCTCCTAGCTGCAGCCTGGAGAGTGAATTAGACAGAAGAGAACTCACTCGCTTGTACTCGCTGTCTCTGTCACTCTGCCTTTTGAATAAATAAATAAAAATCTTTAAAAGTAATAATGAGGGTCTGGTGTTGTGGCAAAGCAGGTAAAGCCTCCACCTGCAATGCTGGACAACAATTCCTGTCCCGGCTGCTCCACTTCTGATCCAGCTCCCTGCTAGCAGCCTGGGGAAAGCAGCAGAGATGGCCCAAGTGCTTGGGCCCTGCCACTCTGGCAGAAGACCCAGATGACCCAGATGAAGCTCCTGGCTCCAGCTGGCCCAGTGCCAGCCGTTGCAGCCAACTGGGGGAGTGACCCAGCAGATGGAAGACTTCTCTCCTGGACTATCTCTTTCTCTCTTTCAAAATAAACAAATCTTTAAAAAAATAATAACAGGGGCCGGCGCTGTGGCATAGAGGGTACCTGCGGCGCCAGCATCCCATACCGGTGCCAGTTCGAGTCCCGGGTGCTCTGCTTCCGATCCAGCTCCCTGCTAATGTGCCTGAGAAAGCAGTGGGAGATGGCCCAAGCTCTTAGACCCTGCACCCAGGCAGGAGACCTGGAAGAAGCTCCTGGCTCCTAGCTTTGGTCTGGCCCAGCCCTGGCCGTTCCAGCCATTTGGGAAGCAAACCAGCAGGTGGAAGACTCTCTCTCTCTCTGCCTCTCACTGTAACTCTGCCTTTCAAATACATGAATCTTCAAATAATAATAATAATAATAATAAAGGCTTTGCCAGCATTGAGACGCGACTTCTTGCCATTCCTCTCTGCCTCACGTGATCACAACCGCCTTGCATTTATTTCCCCTGGTTGTTGAGGTCTGTGCCCCACTCCAGTTCATGTCTGGGTATTACAAAAATGTGTCTCCTTAGTTTAATAATAGCAAGAAAGCACACACAGATTCACAAGCCCTGTCACGCTCCCTTGCACAGGTGTGCTCACCCACACGTGTCTGGGGCACACGCTCACTCACGGGCTACCACACAGACACGCGGGAGGGACCCAGGGCCACCCCTGCCCTCAGCCCCACCGATCCCTACCCCAGCGTCTTCTTCTTCATGGCCGGGACGATCTCCGTCTCCACGTCCACGCTGAGGTCAAACTTGAGGGTGAAGCACTCCTTGCTGGGGTCCTGAGAGGCCACAAGGGTGTTGGCTTCTCCCCTGCCGCCCTCGAGGCGTGGACGGGGACCCCCGCAGGGACGGGGACCCCAGGCAGCTGCCCAGCCCTCCTCCACCCCAAGGAGGCATCCAGCACCCTCCCACAGAGGGGCTCCTGGGCCAGGTGGGCAGTGCCGGGCTGCAAGGCAGGGCAGCAAGGAGGGGACACGCTCACTCCACACCCCAGAGTTCAGGGCAGGGGCGAGGGCCTGGGAGGCAGGGGCGAGGGCCCGGGAGGCAGGGGCCCGCCTGGGGGGTCCTTACATCTGTGTGTCTCCTCCTTGCTTTCTTCTTGGACAGCTTCAGGCCTGTGCCCTTGCGGTCCCTGCAGGGAAGTGGTGAGGGCAGAAGTGGGGGCAGAAGTGGGAGGGGTGGGTGGGCCCCACGTGGGCCCTGAGTGGGGGCCTAGCCTGGCTCCCCCACCCTCCCTCACCGCCGTGTGATGTGACTGTGCGCCCTCTGGTGGCCAGCATGGGAGTCACAGTCAACGGGACTCGTGCTGGCACTGGTGTCTGACCCGGATAGGACCCGGGCTCCAGGAAGCCGAGGCCAGCAGTGGTGAAGAGGAGCCGCCTGCCAATCAGCCCCTCTGGGGGAAGGCCCCAAAGCATCCGTTCCTTGAACCACCGACCTGCAAACCAGCCCCGGGGCCTCCCCTAGTATCTGTTCTGCCCACGGAACCCTCACCTACCCTTTGCCATCCACAGAGCCTTCCTCCTCCTCTTCCAAGTCTACTGCAGGGCTGGTGCGTGGTGGGCATGACCGGGTGGACACATTCCGGGCCAGGACAGAGCCTTTGGAGAAAACGGGGAGGTGGGGACATTACACCTGCCCCCTCCCTGGGCCTCAACTTGGGCACATCCAAGGCACCATCCCGGGAAGCCCCAAGTGGCTAGGGCCCTTCAAGTCTGGGAGCAGAGGGGCTTGTTCCTGGCTGTCTATGCCACCCCCAGTCCCTGAAGGACACAAGAGCTCTGGACAACGAGCCTGCCCAGTGCAAACCCACTGTGGCCTCAGTTTACCCTTCTGTACAGTAAGAACAACTTGCCTCCCCTCCCCCAGCGCTGTGGCCACACCTCAAGTCTTGGTGGGGGGGGTTGGGGAGAGCCTGGCAGAGAGGAGAGTCCTGTCCCTCCAATCAGTGAGGAGGAGGCAGGGGTTGGCATTTCCTGCCAGGCCCGGGGACCCTGCAGGCCTTTGGCAGTGCTCAGCAGGAGGGCCGTTGCTTCCTGCAACACCCACCCCGCGCTGCCCCAGCCTGCCTGGGGACAGGAGGAGCCCGGAAGGAGCCCCCTGCGTGCTGGCTCGGGGCAGGGGCAGCTGGGAACACGGCCCTGGGGAGGGGACAGTCGGGGACAGTCCCTGTCTCTCTTGCTGAAAAGGCACCTCGGCGTATTTGGGCTGCACTCCTCACAGCCAATGGGTGGCCCTATTGGGGTTCCAACTCACACGAAACCCGGCCGCCCCAGACGGGGCTCCCAGCCGCCCGGAGCTCACCCTGCGGGGGCAGGTCGAAGCGGACATGCCCGTCGTAATGCATGGTGCTGTGGAACGTGCTGTCACAGGCCTCACAGAGGTTCAGGGGGCCCCCGAGGTGCAGCTGCTGGCAGTTGGCGTGGTGGCATACCTGCGCAGGGAGCGGAAGGGGGCTGGGCCCACAGGCAGGCGGCCCCGCACCCAGCACCCGCGTGGCTGCCGGCGGTGGACAGGGCTGCCCCTCACCCCTCCCACCGCCCACTGCCCAGGGGGCTCCTCCGCTCCTTCCTTCCTTCCTTCAGCTGTTTTCCAAGCACCTGTTGTGTCCTTTCCTAGGACGCAGAGAAAAGCAGACGCCTGCCCCCTAGGGCCCGGGTGGGAAACTACAAGGCGGTTGCTGCCAGGGTCTCCTCCCGAGGTACAGGCAGGAAGGGCCCCCAGAGACGAAGCCTGGGGCTGAACTTGGCTTGGCCAGCTCAGTGTCGGCATGGGAATGCCCTGAGTTCTCGGGAGCCCCGCCACGTCCCTGCCCAGGCCCTGAATCGAGGTTACAGGGGTGTTGGAGGCGGGCAGTGGTGCCCACACGGTGCCATGTGCTGCTTGGAAGCCTGGGCCTTAGCTTACCGGTCTCACCTTGCCCATCCCCCAGCTTCCAACAGCCCACCCCTAACTCACTTGCCGTGGCCAGTCTGCTCCTTGCTTTTCCAGGGAGACAGAAGCCATCGGAAGGAGGCCCCCTGGCTCCACCTCCACGCCTACCCACCTGCCCGGGGGTTGCAGGGGCTTCCGTTGAGCCAGCCCCTGCTCCCCCCGCCACAGGCACACCGACCCCACACTCGCCCTCTTACACAGTGTCTGGGCCTCACCGCCCTCCCCAGCCCTCCCCAGCCCTTCCCAGCCATGCCCTGTAAGGCAGGGGCATCTGTTCCCACAGCGTCCTCGCTCTCTCCTCCCACCCTCTGCCGACAGGTTTTAGGAACAGCGCACTGGCGTCCACACACCCTCCTGGGCTTGCAGTCAGCAGCTGCCCCATTTGCCTCCTCTCTTCGTCACACTCCTCCCGGGGTGCCGCCGAGAACACGGAAGTTCTCCTCACACCCCACACGAGCGCCGCACCCGGAAAAGCAGCCCCCGTCTGGAGTCTAGGCTCGGATCTTCCCACCGCTCGGATCACGGGCTGTACACGGAGTTCACCAGTGTCTGCTTAGCCCTCTAAGCGTGAACTCCCCAGCCTTGTCTGGGGTGGGGGTGTCTTTCAGGACACTGACTTTTAAAAAAACACTTATTTATTTGAAAGGCAGAATGACAGAGATGGAGAGACCGAGACAGATCTTGCATAGCTGGTTCAGCCCCCAAATGGCCACAATGACCTCGGCGGGGCCAGGCTGAAGTCCGCAGCCTGGAACTCCAACCAGGCCTCCCGTGTGGGTGGCAGGGACCCCAGCACCAGGCCACCTGCTCCTGCTTCTCCCAGGCAGGTGAGCGGGGAGCTGCCTGAGACGCAAGGGCTGGAGTCCTGGGAGGGTCCCCTGGGGGTTTTACCTGGGAGCGCTCAGCCTGGCGATGGTGCCCCCCAGTCGTGGCTGAATGCAGAGACTCCCTCCTGGCCCCCCTCCCAACTCTGCCTCCTCGGCTGCTTCCTGCCCTCCTCCCTTCCTGGGGACCTTCTCTACCCACTTGCTTGTGACGTCAGCGTCCCCTATCAGAGCTGCTCTGGTTTCTGCCTTTACTTACCCTGCTGCTAAACAAAGCAGGAAGCCTGTTAGACGAACGCCCCCCGCCCCAGCATCCCCAGGGCACTGCTGAGAGAAGGACCTGGCTCTGCAGAGTCGGGGAGTCCAAGCTAGTCTTTCCTCTGGAGAGAGGATTCTGGGAAGGCACCTGCCCCACTGGGGGCCTTCTTCCCGGGAGCCCCCCTAGTATGAACGCCAGGCAGCTCCTTCACCCTGGCACAGGCTGCCTCTCCAACCCTCCTTCCTAACCCGCAGGCTTGCGAGGCATGCAGACCTCCCAGCCACCCTAGCCCTGGCCTCACAGAGGGGTGGGGGTGGGGTGACGTGGCAGGAGCCACGCTGGGTGGTGGAGGTCCCGAGGAGGCACTTTGGGACCCTGCCAGTCCCAGTTCCTGATTCTGTGACACAGTCTGGGTGAAGGTCAATGCCAGAGACAGGTGTTGTGGCACAGCAGGTGAAGCTGCTGCCGGGACTTGAGGCCGCTGTCCCACACTGCGGTGGCGGGTTCAAGTCCTTCCTCCGTTTCCAAGCTTCCTGCCATTGCCCCTGGGAGGCAGCAGAGGATGGCACACGTGCTTGGGCCCCTCCCACCCACATGGGACATCCAGATGGAGTTCTGGGCTCCTGGCTTTGGCCTGGCCCAGCCCTCCCATTTGGAGGGTGAACCAGCGGATGGAAGGTCTCTCTCTCTCTCTCTCTCTCTCTCCCCGTTCTGCATTCCAAGCAGATGAAAACAGCAAATGATTTATTTTAAAGATTTATTTGAGAGAGAGAGTGAGAGTGTGTGTGAGAGAGAGAGAGAGGAGACAGACTGAGCTCTCTCATCTGCTGGCTTACTCCACAAATGGCCACAACCGCCAGGGCTGATTCAGGCCAAAGCCAGAAGTTCCGTGCTGGTCTCCCACATGGGCGCAGGGACCCAGGTATGTGAGCCACTCTCCGCTGCCTTCCCAGGTGCATTAGCAGGGAGCTGGACCCAAACCAGTGCTGTGATACAGGATGGCCGCACTGCAGGTGGCGGCTTAGCTCAGTGCACAGTAATGCCCGCCCCTACTCTACATTTTAAAACAATGTATCTGGAGCCAGCAGTGTGGCAGTGAGAAGTCAAGCTGCCGCCTATGATGCCGGCATCCCACAGGGGCGGCCAGTTTGAGACCCAGCTGCCATTTCTGATCCAGCTTCCTGCTAACGCCCCTAGGAAGGCAGTGGAGGATGATCCAAGTCAGGCCCCTGCACCCATGTGGGAGACCCGGATGAAGCTCCTGGATTTGCCTGACCCAGTCCCAGCCGTTGCAGACATCTGGGGAGTGAACAGCAGATGCAAGATCTCTCTCTCTCGCTCTCCCTCCTTCTTTCTCTATAACTCTGCCTTTCAAATAAAATTTTTTTTCTTTTAATAAAGTGCCTTCTTTTAAAAAAATTCTAAAACCAATTCAAGATGGAGGCAGCAGGTTCAGCAAATACTTATTGAGCTCCTACCACATCCCACCCTGTGGAGGCTCTGGTCAGTCTCCCAGCTGACCAGTCTGCTTCCACCCTGTGCAGCCCCCAGCTCAGGGACACCAGGGGCACGGCGAGAGTCAGGTGCATCAGGTGCTTCCAGAGGTAACCAGGCAGTGCCAGCTGAGGACGGCATTCTGGAAAACGCTGAGGCTGGGGGTGGGGTGGGGTAGAGCCCTGTGGGACAGCTTCCCCTCCCCCACGCCTCACACTGCCCCTGCCCAAACCCCAGCACTCACGGAGGGTGGCCCTTCCCCAAAGGCTCACCCTTGGGCCCCGGCCCTCTGACCCGTGTCCCCTTGCTAGCCTCTGAAGGCAGCAGCACCCCCTGGGAGTTCCCAGACCTCAATCCCAGGAAGGGGAGAACCCATCCAAAGAACAGCCAGGCCACAGGGCACCCCCGGAGGCTTTGCAGAAGGGAGGGCCTCTTCAGGGAACTCGGTCAAGGCCGCTCCCCTGTGGATGGGGCACCGGAAGCTACTCCTACCCCTCACACAGGGCTGGGCCCAGGCGGAGGCTCAGAGGCCACTGGGGTAGGAGGAAGGGGTGGGCAGGGCCTGGCCCAGAGGAAGGAGAGGGGGAGGGGTGGCCCTGCACACGGACTGGGCCCACAGGTGTGTCCGGAGGCCCTCGGTCCCAGACACAAAAGGCCAGCTGGGCCTCAACCCGAGTCATGGGAGTGGGTGGACACCTAGGGGCCACAGTGTCCCCCCAACCCACCACACCCCCCCACCGGCGCAGCCAGGCAGGGGACTCACCGCCCCAGGCCACAGTCCCCCATGGAGACCATGCTGGGGGACTGGGCCCCCGAAGCGCCAAGCCCCCAGTCTCCCCTCCATGAAACCCCTCCCACTCCTCTACCTGGTCTTCCCCGTCGTGGGCCCGACCCCCAGGCCAGGAGGGCTTGGAGTCCCGGGAGGGCAGCCCAGGGTCCGGCCTAGAGGCCGCGCGGTGCCCGGAGACGCCGGGTCCCGTCCCCATGGCGGCTGGAGGAAGCTGCGGTCTGTGCCGCCGGCCGGACAAAGCACAGAGCCCCGCTTCCTGCCATTGTGCGGCCGCGCCCGCCCCGCCGAGCGACGGGACCCCCCCATCCCCTCCGAGGCTGCGGAACCCCCGCCCCTCCCGGCAGGCACCTCAGCCTCCCGCCTGTATCCTGGGGACCGGCGTCTCAGGGCCCCGAGGAGCTCCCTGAAGGCTGGCCCAGGGCAGGGACCCGCAGCCCCCTGCCCCCCAACCCAGTTCAGCCTGGGGACGCCCCTCTCTGCTGCGACTCAGCTTCCGAGGCTGCAGGGATCAAAGGACCTGCTGCCCGGCAGTGGGGGAGGGGCAGTTACCTTCCTTACCCTCCCCCCCCCAGGTGCCTGCTGCTGCAAAGGGGCCCACCGTGGACTGGGGTGCTGGGGTCCCCAAGGTATGGTGGCCAAATGCTTTTACCCTCATCCCCCCTACAGAAAAAGGCAGGCACTATCCATCATCCCTGTCCATTACACGGGGGACAAAGCCACAGGGAGACACGGGAGTCCACAGGCTCGACCAAAACCCAACTTTGGACAGGGTTCTGCTGGCATGGGGGACATCTGTCTGCCATCAGCCCCCACACGGGGAAGGAGGGCTCAGACAGTGGGGGGGCAGCAGTCCCCCACACGGGGAGGAGGGTCTCAGACAGTGGGCAGCAGTCCCCCACACGGGGAGGAGGGTCACAGACAGTGGGGGGGCAGTCCCCCACACGGGGAGGAGGGGCTCAGACAGTGGGG